AAGCCAATAATTTTTTTAAACACTTTTCGTGCAGAAATTGACAAGGTATATTTTGTTTGATTGATGAAGAAGAGAACCCATCGAACACTAACAGTGTTGTGAGCATGGTGCACCACGACCTGATATACTATTGACACGGGTAGACTGATTGAAACTTCCACTTTGATAACTGTTCTGGACAGAATAAAACAAAAATGTTGTACTGTGGTACGCCCTGCAAACAGTTCTAACAGGTACATGTTTCTAAATTTTGATTTAAAAATTTATATAAAAGAACTTTTATGCAAACACAACATAGTTTAGTAGAGATATAAATGACATTATTATCAATATCCACCATTTAAGGTTTGGGGGCCACTCAAGTATTACACGGTTACCAATTTTGGTTGCTTGTATGCCGCAAAACAATTGTATTTTGTCAGGCTCCCTTAACTTTTCATAGTTCTATTTTCGTTAAAGTATTCAATATAAGAATAGATACTATTTCATTTCCTATCGTTAATTAGCCATGTTTAGATGGTGACGTTCCCTTGTCACCATCTTACGGTGTTTATATATCTCAACTTGTACGATTAGCTCGTGTATGTAATAATGTTTTAGATTTTAACGAGAGAAATCTATGTATTACTGAAAAATTATTACACCAGGGTTTTCAATATCACAAACTAGTCAAAACATTTACTAAATTTTATCATCGGTATAAGGACATCATTCGTAAATATAGCTCAACATGCAGACTTCTTATACGTTCAGGTATTTCACATCCAATTTTTTATGGAAATATTCTTTATAAAGCACAAAAATGTCAGTATTCACCTCTGAAGCTAACAAAACCTTTAAATAGACTTATTAAGAAGGGATATAGTTACGATACTGTTGTCAGGTCATTAAAGATTGCATATTTTGGCGTTAATATTGATTCACTTATATGGTCTTTGCATCGGCACTAAACACATTTATTTAAAAACCAGTTGTTGGTATGACACGGGTTATGTTCTTCTCATATATGTTATGATGGTATGATACTAAACCCCTAACGGGAAGGGTTGTGCCTGATATTCATGTGATGAAGACATAATCTTTCAATCAGTTTAATTGAAGTCTGGAGCTGGCATGTCAGTTAACTGCTAGTAGTCTGTTGTTATTTATGTATTATTGTCATTTTGTTTATTTTCTTTGGTTAAATCTTCTGACATCAGACTAGGACTTCTCTTGAACTGAATTTTAATGTGCGTATTGTTATGCGTTTACTTTTCTACATTGACTAGAGGTATAGGGGGAGGGTTGAGATCTCATAAACATGTTTAACCCCGCCGCATTTTTGCGCCTGTCCCAAGTCAGGAGCCTCTAGCCTTTGTTAGTCTTGTATTATTTTTAATTTTAGTTTCTTGTGTACAATTTGGAGTTTAGTATGGCGTTCATTATCACTGAACTAGTATATATATTTGTTTAGGGGCCAGCTGAAGGACGCCTCCGGGTGCGGGAATTTCTCGCTGCATTGAAGACCTGTTGGTGACCTTCTGCTGTTGTCTGTTCTATGGTCGGGTTGTTGTCTCTTTGACACATTCCCAATTTCCATTCTCAATTTTACTAAATAAAAACAAGAATGAGACAATTGATTAAGAACAAATCACCATCACATTTAAGTTTTTATTGATTAAAGACTTCGTTGTAATTTTTTATTAACATTTTTCTAATAGGATTCAAAGATGATCGAGTTTTCTACGATGATTGGTGGTGACACTAAGTTTGAACCCGACTTGCACTTTGGGGTTTGGAAGGTAAAAAAGCGCAGCTCAACAAAAGAAACAATGGCAGATGTGAGTGAGATATTAACAACTGAATATAAATTTGCATTCAAACTTTACAAAACAGTACTTAAAATGATAAGTACTAAACTGTTTAAAAACATTATAATGCAGTAATGGAAAATTATGTTTTCATAAGTAAACCTCAGGTACACTAGAAAAAAATTAATTAAATATTTTTGCAGTTTTCCATTATGAATTAAAAGAAGATAGATCTAGGATAAGAATGGTTATTTTTCTGTTATCATCACAACATTTTATTTTAAACTTTGCTTGATTTTTCTGCGAACTACATTAAGCTTTACCGCTGCGGCACTATTGTTCCAAACAAATATAACTAGGCATGTCAAATATTATACATATATTCATGTCTATATTTTTTGCAGGAAAAAGACAAAAACTCATGTTGCCTCCTATTTCTATTTATTGTCTCTTCTGGATACATTTACGTCAGACTGCATGTACAATTTGTCTTTATAGTGTTAAGATAATTATGTTGTATATATCTTTCAAATTGTAGAAAGTGTGAATAAGTCCAGCACAAATGGTCTTAATATTTCCCAACAAGTCAAGGATATGGATATCTTTCATATACTATGATTGAAAGCAATATCTTCAGTAGTATTTTAAAACACTGAAGCATATCAACACATATTACAATTTTATCGTTGATTAAATAAAACCTGGATGTGTTATATGTGACGAATCAAGTGACGCTAGACCTATTGACTTCAATATGTTTAAAAAGAAAAAAAAAACACTATATTTTCACCATCTAATATGCCAATCACCTTAACATCCAAAGGATAAGATGCAGCAATACAGTGGTATCTCTATAAATGAATCGGAGAATTTTGTCAAAATGACGCTTATAAAAATATAATTTGTCCAACGCAAACAATTGCTAAAATCGAAGTTGACTTGAGCAATGAAGGAGATACCATTAAACATGAATGTAAAATACAAACAAATTTATTTTTATCTTCTTTTCTAATTTAAGTAATAATATCAAACTCTCAATGATATTATGAACAAGGAAAGTTCTTTAACACAAAAACTTTTCCAGCTGTTAATGCATTGGCAGATAACAGGCATATAGATCTTGCACTTGGAACACACATTATTTAAAGTTAAAGTTATAATTTCATTGTACTCAATCATATAAAAGTTTGTAATACAGATTTATTTTATTTCATATAAAAAAAAAAAAAAAAAATATTCATTCAAAATATACCATTACGAAGAACAACTCGTACAAGATCAACCAAAACGTTAATAAAGAAAAGAAGAACTAATTTCAAAGTAACAACTTATGTAAAAAGAAAAGAAAATCAGGGAATTTTGATAAAACGACGCTTATAGAGATGTCACTTATCCAAAACAACAATTGCTAAAACTGAGATTGACTTGACCAAGGGATGAGATACTAACTAGAAAGCAGCGTCTACTGAATGAATGTACAAACATATTCATTTTTGACTTTTTATCTAATTTAATGAATACTATCAAACTCTCAAGAATATTGTAAAAAAAGAAAGTTTATTAACACAAACTTTTTTCCAGCTGTTAATTCATTGGAGATAACGGGCATATCGATCTCGCACTTGGAACTAACATTTTAAAAGGAACTGCCATGAAGTTCAAGTTTTTATTTCATTGGACTCAATCATATAAAAGTTTGTAATACACATTTGTTTTATTTGATATAAAAAACAAAACACACATTCAAAACATGCCATAACGAAAAACAACTCGTACAAGGTCAACCAAAACTTTAAAAAAAAAAAAAAAAAAAAAAAGAAAAACTAGTTTCAAAGTAACAACTTATATATATTTATATATATATATATATATACAAGTCTAAATTGAAAATAACGTTCAAACCTATGATTGCGTTGGATAAAAACCGCTATTTTTATACGTGTGCATGCAAAACAAATTTCTTGTTAGAGGGGTCTAAATACAGCACAAACAACATTTTCCAAAAGATCAAAAAAGTGAAAAAGTATATTTCAACAAAACGCATTTGACTAACAGGTCGAACAACAAATGTTCTTAAACCCTGCTAACTGCCATTGGCGATTGCCAAATAAACGGATCACCGATGTAATAAATGGATCTTAAATATAAATTTAATACTAAACAGAATATATATATAAAAAAGTCAGTGAATTTTGTTAAAATGACGCTAATAGAGATGTCATCTATCCAAAACAACAATTGCTAAAAGTGAGGTTGACTAAGGAATAACATACTAACAAGAAAGCAGCGTCTACTAAATTAATGTACTAACATATTTATCTTTATCTTCTTATCTAATTTAATGAATACTATCAAACTCTCAAGGTAATTGTGAACAAGGAAAGTTCTTTAACACAAACAAATTCAGCTGTTAATTAATTCATTGGCAGATAACGAGCATGTCGATCCTGCACTTGGAACAGACATTTTCAAAAGCACTTCCATTAAGTTCAAGTTTTTATTTCATTGGACTCTATCATATAAAAGTTAGTAATACACATTTACTTTAATTTATCAAAAAAAAAAAAAAAAAAAAACACATTCAAAACATATCATTAGGAAAAGCAACTCGTACAAGATCAACATAAACTTTAAAAAAACGGAAAACGAATTTCGAAGTAACAATGTGAAAATCAGGGAATTCTGTTAAAATGACGCTAATAGAAATGTCATTTATCCAATACAACAATTACTAAAACTGAGGTTTACTTGACCAAGGAAGGAAATACTAACAAGAAAGCAGCGTCTACTGCATAAAGATATCAACAGATTTATTTTTGTCTTTTTTTTCTAATTCAATAAAGACTCTCAAGGATATTGTCAACAAGGAATGTTCGTTAACACACAAACTTTCCAGCTTGTTATACATAGCAGATAACGGGCAGATAGATCCTGCACTTGAAACAGACATTTGTAAAAGTACTGCCATTAAGTTCAAGTTTTTATTTCAATGCTCTCAATCAATTGGAAGTATGTAATACACATTTTATTTTTAATTCTTTACAAATAGGAAAACACATTAAAGCATACGATTACGAAAAACAACTCGTTGAAGATCAATCAAAACGTAAAGAAAGGAAAATTAGTGTCAAGTAACAATGTTAGACAAAACAGATTTAGGGTAATGACATTAGGAAAGTACAATACCACATGAAAAAATATATGTAAAAATCACGACTTCTGAAAAAAAAAAAAAAAAAAAAAAAAAAAAAATTCCAATAAAGATTTTGATTTTGTTTTCAAAGAAACCACATATTTACCATATAAATTCACACACAAAAAAAAATAATCATGAAGATAGATATTCATATTTGGTATATTTGTAAATATAGAATTTTGACGTTAGATTTATTAAATACATTCAAAGTGGTAAAGAAAACTATAAGTGAGAATTGTGTATGAATTTCAATATTTCGGTTAACAATTTTATGTACACAAATGCATGCAGAATCAGAATGTCGTATTTTCAAAACAACTTGAGATATCATCATACAATTTTGTATACATAATGACACATTAGTAGCATTGAAAAAAATTAATACAAATTGAAAATATGTAACTGTATAACTCATCATGACCCATTTGTCAGTCATGTTCACATATCCTAACAAATTATTGGCATTTGCACGTTCGATTATAAAAATATATAAATATCATAGACAATAGATGTACATTTAATTTTTTTTATCGTTCAGTTTTTTAATAAAGATAATAAATTTTAATGTGTATTACTCCAAAGGATATAGTTTCCAAAAATGAAGTTAATAAAGGCAATGTATTAAAATAAAAATTAATGTCAAGTTTGAAATGTTATTGTTGTATACCTTTGGTAGCTTTTAGAATACAACCGTTAGCAAGCAAACACGCAGACACACATGAAGTTAATAATTGATGTATTACTCTGTGTTCAATGAAACCGTTGTGAACAGTTTGTTTTAAACATTATACACTATTGTTATCATTTTTTTTTATGTCAGATTACATATCATGGAGGTTTATATAACCTCAACTGTTAACTTGGTTTACAGTAACGATTGCTTATATTCAAATTGTATTCAACCATTTTCAATGGTATTTTATCGCCTTGGAAAATCTACTACTAAAATTGGTTGTCGTAAACCAATGTGACGTATCTCATCAATCACAGATTCTCGCAAATCATGTATGTCTTTCTGGGTAGGGGTTGAATCGGCTTCTGTATTCATATCCCTGAAAAAATGTGAAAGTCAATACAAGAAAATACTAATGTGTTAGTATGTAAAGCAACATTAAATAATATACTAAAAAATAAAGCTAAATATGTTTATTCACAATTTCAAGTGTGTGAGGTTTTCAGATGGTACAAACGATATATAAAGTTGAAATGATATGATCAATTTTATTTTCCTTGTGAAGTATTTCTTGTTTAGAGTTTAAGTGATTTTCTGATATTTTCTCATAGTAAATTTAGTACTTTTAAGACATTTTGCTTGTAGTCAATCAAGAGTACTGTTCAGTAGCTGCCTCGTAACGGTTGTGGATAAGTCTGAAAATTTTCAATAGTGTTTTCATGACTATATTATATATTGTTCAGTCTTTCCAAGAACTGTTGTGGTAAATAGCCTGTTTTAGTTGATTATCAGTTTCTTACTAGTGTATCGTGCCTATTTTGCAATGATTTAAGATCATTTGTTGTTTTAAACGGATGTGGTATACATTTCACTTTTAGCTTTTAGAAACACATTTCCAATATGTTATTAGTAAATGTGTCAAAAGCTTGCAATTAGAATTGTGTTTTCAATAATATTTTAAAAGGTATACATTACGTTTTAATATATGTATACTATTAAAAAGAACAGAAAAGAGAAAGAGGGAAATCTAACTTATATATAGTGAGACATTTCATTGACAAACAAATTCAAACGAAGGTAGATAGACATTGAATATATAGACATGTATGTAATATGTGTCTTGAGAAAGTTGAGAGAAACAAATCGACGGAAATGAAATCATTTAATAATGTTCAAGTTGTTTTTGCCATATTTATTATGTTTTTACATTTCTGATAATATTTTTACCTTTCATCGGTCATCATGTTTCTAGCATTATATCTACTGCCGGCACGAGAAGGTCCATTTTGACAATTTTGTAAAGCAAAGTGTTCTACAATATTAAGATTTTCCATTTCTTCGATTGTAAGGAGCAATTCTACAAATAGAATTTCATTCCTTGTTGAAAATTAAAAATGTATAATAAATATTAGTACACTTTTATCAATGATACACTTAATTTTGCAAAAAAATAAAAGGTTTTGTGTTAATTTTACCACAGGAAGAATGATAAAACATTTGAATAAGAATGGAAAGAAATATAGGAGATTGAAATGATTTGCCTATATCTTTTCGACAACGAATTTCTAGTAACAGTCGAAAGATATATAATGCCGACAATTTAAGTGATTAAACATATCTAACAAGATTTTTTATTCTGTTTTTGATGGTACGTGAGAGCTACTTCGTCTTTCCTTTTTATTCAAATTTTTTTTTGTTAACTATTTTAGTACTTATCATAAATAGCACACATTGTTTTTGATTATGATAATGTAGTATATATACAGTATACAATGTATTGTTTAAATTTGTTATTGTCGGTATCTAGATCTCCCCATAATACAAAAAACCGATCAATACTTCATACAAATACAATTTATTTACATAAAATAAAATGCTTTGAATTGCTTGCAATTAAACGATATATACTGTAGATTAAACAACTTTTTGATGTTTGGTCAGTTTTTTGCGAATCAACTTATGGAACGAGAATACACATTTTCCTTTTAAGACATAAAAAAAAAACTTTCGATTTTTTAAGAATGTGTATATCTCCATACTAAACATGTTTAATGATATATAAACCATTTAAATAGAATTCAAAACAATTTAGGAAGTATATATAATCTATGGCAAAGTCAAGTCATGCAGCTTTACCCATTCTGATTAAGATTTGACTTACATGAGGAGGCTTAAAACATTTGTTCAATTGATGTCCTATCAAAAAAGGTCATATCAGACTTCATACAAAATGTAGTAAACAATATTTACCAAAATCAGTTTCATACAGATATCCTATTTTGTAATAACAAAATACAATTATTCTAAATAAGTGTATAAGTATTGGAACTGGGAACATTGGCCTGTCATAGTATTCATATATCAAAGCATACATGTTGAATTTCCAAATCATTTCAGAATTATCTTGTACTTTCTGGAATGTATACCTGTGAAAACGAAATATGTAAGGCACAGATCAGTTATCGGTATAAGAAATCTACTTGACAGGACGAAAATGTAAGATATATAGATTAATCATTGTATAAAATCGCATGAAAGTCGTTTTTTTATATTGTGAATAGTTTTGGTATTGCTCATTTTCAAATTGCTTTGTCATAATATTACAAAAGCAATCAAATGTCATGTGATTTTCATTTTTCTTCTTTTACTTATCAAAGTATATAATTTTCTTATAGAGGATTCTTGTGTATTTTTTTTTTTGGAATAAACAGAACTTTACACCTCATAGTTTTTTAACATTGTAACGTACGAACACAGTCAATACATAGCTGTCGGCGTGCATTTACTACTGCAAATGCTGAATATTTGACATTAATAAAGATTAATTATTGCAAAATCAGAAAAAAAAAACTTCATACACGTCATATTATCAAAATCTGAAATGCAATTTTCCTGTGTGACAATAAACCCTTCGAAATTTTTGGAATAATGATAATAACACACTTTTCTTAAGGAGAAGGAACATTTGAGGCTGATTTTTTACCCAAGAAAAGTTTTGAGAAATATGTCAAATGTTTTCAAATGCATACAATCAATACATATAAATGAATTTCATAAGATGTTTGATGTTATGAAATCACATTTACGTCATAGGATGCACTGCTTTTATGAAAACGGCAGAATTTGTGTAGTGTTCCTTAGTAATGTCTAATGGGAAAACATTGTGCTAACCCAAGAAACTCCAAAATGAATTAAAAGAAACTTTATTATAACTATTGACAAAATCTCAACAAATATAAAATTGTTTCTTGGGTGCGTACTTACTCTTCCAATCTAATATATACTTACAAAATTGATGTAAAAATTAGAAGATCTATTGTTTTACAAAATATACAATTTGTGTTATGGTTTGTTGCCATGGTAACTCGTTAAATGAGAAGTTTCTTTTTCGAACTCTATGTACCTTAGTGTAATCACGGCACATTTGAGAATATGTACGAACTCGTTTATATTTGCACTGATATTTGGGCAAAATAAGAGCCGTATTGCCCCTGCTACTTTATTGTGAATGTCCTTGATACTATAACATAATTTCTCAGTTTATCCGAAACTTGAGTAATAAATACTTACGAAAACATCGCAATAAGAATATTGACTAACAGAATATTTGTCAGAATCAGATACACAGCCAACATAGTCGAATTAAATTGGTTGCTTTGTGCACATCGATCCATTGTTCCGTTAATGTATAACTCATAATCATTGGTACATTCCGACGGTTCTGTCCCTATGTAATATAGAAATGTGAAAATAAGGTTAAAGGTAATCACCAAAATCAGAATAATAAAGCTATATCAACAGCACATATCAAGAGATGTAAGTGATTTAAAACGCAATGGCGTGGAAATATATGGGTAAGAATTGGAAGAAAACAATGCATTTCTTCGCAAAAAGATAACAATTAAATTTTACAAAAAAATAACATTAATAGTGTAAAATTTCAAAGAGCTTGTGTTGGGCCTCGGTGACAAGGTGGTCTAAGTAGTTTAACTCTTGTATCATAAGTCTGTCAACTCTGATGTTGTTCGAACCCCGTGGCAGTTACATTTGACTTAATTAAAAATTGGCTAGAATTGTCTGTTTTCCAGCCGACGATTTACAGTTTTCTCCGGGCAGCCTGGCTTCCACCATCAATCAAAACTGACCGCCACGGAATAGGCAAAAGTGCTTAGGGGCGGTAAACACAAATCAATCAATCAATCAATCAATCAATCAATCAATCAAGAGCTTGTGGCATTTTGAAAAATAGAACAAAACCAGAAAGCCCTATAACTTATTGCTTGTATTGTTCTGCGTATTCTATATGTACATCTGAATGTATTGATTTGTGACATACAACTACATAGTTAAAATACAGAAACACATTGCTAGGGAAACTCACACTTGAAGGCTAAAATTTGTACACACTATCAAGCAGTCATTTAGGCTATAGACAAACAACTGTACAAGTATATAAATACAAACAAGTATAAACAAAGTGAATACCTTCAATGTGATCTAAATATAGCTCGCCGTACAACTGCCAGTATGGAAAATAAACAAGATTTTTTAACAGCTCCCAAGGGGACAACACCGAATTTGGAAATAAAACAGCTTGGTACATGATGCCAAAACTGAATACGAACAGTGCAAACAGAGAAATGAAAAATGCAAGGTCTGCAAGCTGTAAAAAAAAAAAAAAAACATATCAATAATATCAATTTTACTGTTTATTTTACGATGGTCTGCATTTTAACGGTTGCAAAATGAGTTATTTCTAAATGCCCAAAAAACATCATATCTGAAACTATTATCAGTACATACGAGATATCGTGCACTTTGGCAATACTCTTTCGTTCTATTAATTGTATTACGCAAATTTAACTTGTTAACCCTCACACATACTTAAATTTGACATTTACCCTTTTTTGGTAGATTGAGATTGCTTGCAATAATGAAATGGTTTTTCTAATTAATATTCTGTATGATGTCATTTTAGACTGAGGTTTGTCTAATCGTTGTCTTTCAATTGTTGCAATTGGAATGTCCGTTTGTTTTAAGTCAGAGTTTAGATATACATAAGAAGATGCGGTATGAAAGACAATGAGACAACTCTCTATCCAATTCAAAATGTATAAAATGTTAACAATTATAGGTCAAAGTACGGCCTTCAACACGGAGCCTTAGCTCACATCGAACAGCAAGCTATAAAGAGCTCCAAAACGACTAGTGTAAAACAATTTACACGGTATGTTTAGTTTTGTATCTTTTTTTAAAATTTCTGTGGACCTTTTATATGTTTTACTTTCATTATTTAAATTGCATTCGAAAAATATATAACACAACACAATAAAATGCTTATATAATAATGAAATGCATTTATTTAAGGATAATGAAAATTTAAAAACTTTGATGTACTTCATTGTAAGAGTTTTATCACAATAAATGGAGACCTTTTTCGTTGGTATATTAATTACAGGTAATTTAATTGACACCAAGGAGAAAGATGCAACAGAAAGTAATAAGTTTGGAAAAAGAATTTTACTAGAATATTCAGATATTACATGTTGATTAAAACATTTATTTATGAAAAAAGGTTTATCCTATGAAAAAAGATATACACATATGGTAAAAAAAATACATTGATCGCTATACACTGTATAATGTCTCTAGCCTTAATGACATCTTTACAGAAATTCCACGATCACAATGTGTGTAGCATGAAACTTTGAATTTTGAGCAAATTCATGCAATTTTACAAAAGTGTAGTTATCGTTTTAATTGATAGTAAATGTGTCAAAAATATAATGATGATGGCGAAAATTGATCAAAACTTGTAGTTTCCTAGTTTCATCACTTGACGCACTGTGATAGTGTCTATAGCGACTACGTGATAAAAAAATCCAAACATGTAGAAGGCCTGCAGCGATTTTACTTTCGATTTCTGTCGAAAGTACTATGCAATTGTGCTATATGCATTCATTTTGGAATCAATGTCTTTTTGAAATCACTATTCTTTGAAATGCATAAAAAGTTATAAAGGTCCTTAGTCGCGTGTGCATTTAATATTTAGCCTCACATCTGGTATTTTCTGTCGAAATTTAAACAATTAAGAATATATCACATGTTAATAGATAAGCCTTATTTTATATACAGCTGTGACACCTTGTCCCTTGAGTTAGGCTTTACTTTTTATCCCTTTTTGGTTTATATCAATGTCTAAAAACTTAGCCTCGAGCATAACTGAAGATACATTGTTCGTCGAAATGCGTATCTGATGATACGGTTAATGCTTCTCAAAAGGAGAAAAATGTCATAAAACGCTAAGTGTAGTTAGAATATTTGTTTCTATCAGTGACGAACTCTTTGTAATCGAATAACACTGAACAAAATAACATTAGGATTGGCATTACCAACTTACTTATTTCATATATGTTCTAACAAAACAGGATCGTTCCGTCCTACATGTATGTGCATATGTAATCAATTATGAAAACAAATAACGTGTCTTTTCAGCAGTAAAAAAAGGAGGAGTAAAATGTTTGATTTTGAGGTTACAAAATTTTATCAAGTATCGGAGCCAAACAGCTTTTTTCGGTTTTACCTAATATGTACGTACACTATTTTTTTTTTTCAATGAATGTATTCCAAATTATTTTGGAGTGTTTGCACCATGATATAATGATCAGTAAGGAAAAAGCACGTGTTTGTGTACAAGAAAATCAGGATCTTTTATCTTATGTATTCTTTTCTGTATTACTGGATAGGTTGTTTTCGGAACCAGACCTCTCTTTACAGACTATCTGGCTTCTTCAATTTTGAATTGACTTTTAACAAAATTTAAACATTTTCATTAAATTATTTAGCACTAAACTTAATTTTAGGAACAATAAGGCATTCGATCTCAAGGCATTGAACGCCTTAACCGTTCTGGCACACTATCTATTCTTTTATGTTTAACACATGATTTTTTGCGATTTGATCTCCAAACTGTTCATTCTAGGACCACAGATCTGTCATGTGTAGATCAAACGCTCGTCTGCATTTACAAACCTGGTATTTCTGATACTGGGAGAGTCGTATTGGGATAATTTGGTGGGGTAAACCAAGTGTCAGAGATTCGATTTATGTGAATGTATACTTACCATTCTTCCTATCATTACCACTTTAGGCCCAATATACCTATCGACGAAGAAAAAATGCATGCTGCGCAAGATAAACATAGATAAGGTGATTGCATAAGTCATTCTGGCAAAGTAGAATTGGTCCGAGTTCAGTAAACATCTGAGAAACACTGATACGAGGAATAGCAGATACATTACAATGTCGAATACATTCCAGACATTTTTAGCCCAATACTGAAGATTATGTGATAGTGATCCCCTGTTTGTCTGTACAATCTGTTAAAGAACATGTGTGCATTTGTTTGAATTAGATAAACATTTCAAATTTATGATAATAGACCATTTAGATGGAATTGTAATGTGTGTTATTGTATTTGATTTGATTTGGAATAATCAGTCTACGCAGTATCGTATATTCATGTAGGAAACTTAAGATATTTTTATATTAACAAAAAAACAATCGTTTTAATTTTCTAAAGACTACATAAACAAATAAATACATATGTTAATGTACAAATTGCTACATGGAGAATATATGATAATTATATGATCACACAATGCAATTTAAAATCAGGTCAAGTGTAGTCGAATAGCCAAATATTTCTGTTGTATAGTAGTAATACCTCGTGTATTGTCCTTCAGAAGGATTTAAATATTTGTGTTGTTAGTTTTTTTTGTCTAATTGATTCATACCCCGGATCGTATTTATTCATTTCAAACGATCAAATAATTCCTGGCAATTTAATTAACGAATATATTAAATGTTTGGATAATTAGTCTGTAATTTAAGCTGCTGTTATGATTAACAGTTGCAGTATATGTATATACACGCCAGGCACAAAGAACAATGAATCCTTATTTCAATTCAGGTTCCAAAACGCGGTTTTAACTGACTGGTTCAGCGCAACGATTCCAACTGTTTGACTAGTACAACAATTCTTCAAGGAAAATGTTTGCTATTCATGACTAGTAACAAATACTGTAAACGAATCTAAAGATGTTTGTACTGAAATATTTACCCTATCGCAAAACGTTCCTATACAAAAATTAAATGTTAACGTACCTGTCTTATTTCCTCTAACAATAGTGATAAAGTCCACATCCAAGTCAAATATTCAAGCGTAGAAGGCGGTCTTTCTGACAAAGGGTACAAATCAGTCAACACAAATGATGCAAAGATTACCAAAAATGCGAAGTAAGACACCTTAAAAAAAAAAAGAAAGAAATGGTTCTGAAAATGACACAAACAATCATTACAAGTGCAATAATACTCTTTTTATTTGGATGAATTAAGTCCTACATTGTAGGCGAGCATATGACATCGAGAGAGAATGGTTTTAACGTATAACGTATTATACATAAGTTAATTTTGGTAACTCAGAATATGCATGTAGTGTACGGGCATAACTATAAATGACATCATAATATGTATACATCACTATAATTTTTCCGGGTTCAAATAAGTGTGTCAACACTTCTTCTTTACATTAAAAGTACTGAACTGGTCCGTAGTCTCGGTATGTCAGAAAATATAGTATCTGTTTTAATTTTTTTAAATGCAAATAATGAAGAGCTTATATAACGGAAATAATAGACAAATACTACACATGCATCTGCCAAAATTGAGAAGAAGGTTCAAATTTGATTCAGAAACTTATAACACACGTTATATATCCGGACACTATAGGTGTAATACCACCAAATCATAGTACGTCACATCCGGTTGCATACGGAAAAGGGTCGAAAAAAATATTCCCTTGACTTTGACAGTTGTAGGAAATTAATCCTACATTTCATTGTAATGTAGTAAAATATTCCTGAGTCATAAACATATATCTTGGGTGTTTCAAAGCACCATTATTTTTTTTATTTGGTGTTTATATAGAATATTTTAGAAACTTGAGGTTACATGGTTACTAAAGCTTGTAAACATGAAAAAAGGATTGAACATTTGATTGGTTAACTTCAAATCATGGTTATTTTCTTATATGCAATGAAATGTCATGTGCAATTTTGTCTAAAGTACTGGACAGGATAAAACTTTACCCATGCCAAGTATTTTTTTTATTTGAAACAAAGATAAATTCTGCACATTTTTTTGAAAAGTGCAAATTTAGCAAAGACTAATGGGGGAAAATCAATGGTGGTATTACACCTATACAACTTTCGTTTGAACATTCCGTCAAAATTATGATATTATAAACAAAGCAAACAAACAAATTGCAATGAAAAATGGTTGTAGGCGTATCATATATTTAGGAGGGGACATTAAAAAATGAGGAAAAAATCAAAATAACAAATGTTGGTACTATCCAATCATATAAATTAAGTTTCCACTGCACAGCATAACCTGTTCATCCGTCCTCAGATTAAAAACAAAAGACCCTTCTTTGATGCTGCTTGCATGTGAATATATAAATTTCGATCGACACATGCGAAATTGTATTACATTTTTTTTTTCTAAAAAAATGAATAAAAACAGAAAAAAATACAAGATGCTTATATAGAGAGTCACAGTGTATGGAGCATAGCATTTTGATGTATTGGAAAATAAAACAATACAATTATTGTTTCACTAGTACATGTAAACCATTTTTGAACTAAAATTTACATTTTGATCTAATCAAGTCTTAAAGTACTGAACAATACATTATTCAGTTTGTTCAGTCTTTCAGTGAAGGTTCAGATAAATCGCTTGCAGTCAATTAAGATACGTTCAGTCTTTAGTAAGCTTGACATGTAGCTGTTGTAAACCAGTACGGAACAAACATATACTGAATTGTCTGAAAAGGTACTGAACAGGTCTACGTTGACTGCAAGCAAAATATGCTAACAGTACAAAATTTACAAGCAAATATCTGCAAAACTACCCAGCACTCTCAACATGACTTTACGTATTTAATTTCAGTCTTTTTCAATAATATTTAGACCAAAATGACCGTAAAAGACTAACATTCATCTGTTAGTGTGTATAATCAAATTGCATTTTTGAAATGAAAATTGCTAACCACGACAATCTGTGCACAGGTCTGGTCCGGTGTGGAGAAAAACTTCTAGAGATATGGCCGATCATTATTTTCAATAAGTCTAGAATAGTCTAGACCTAGGTCTTGTCTACAACCGATAATGCTAGCGTTCTTGTTGGCACAACATTTATTACGTTTACTTGTTGATATTTATATTTTTTGTACAGATTAGGAGTACACACATCCGAATATTCTATTATTTTATACACGCCCCTAAAATAATATCGACACATAAATGTAATACACTATTGTATACAGTTAAGTATTTTTATCTTTTGCTTAACCGTTAAGAGTACACATTTTTGGGTTCAATGTTTTCGCAATTGTGAAACCATGTTGGAATATTAGTTAAGCAAATTTTACAAACATTCAAGTTTAGTTAGAGCTTAATAACCAACACAAAATAAGTTGCCGTATCTCAAACTCCTATGCTTAATTAAGTTTCCTCCCCGAGGATATGAACAACTCAGTAGCCAACGACTTTGTGTTGACATGAATAAGCATTGATATGGTCATGATTATAAAGTATATATTTACAAAACGTATCATTTTTCTAAATACTTAGGATTTGTAACCAGTGGAATAGAATACCTTAGCTGTTTTGACAAAGCCTTTTTGGAATTTTGAACCGTCAATGCTCTTCAACCTCGAACTGTATTTGGCCTTTTTATCTTTTTTTTTTTATCGAGCACCACTGAGTTTTTTAAGACGAAACGCCTCTGGCGTACACAACTTTAAGACTGTTATCCATGATGAGTATATTTACAACAAACTTTTTTATTCGAGCGTCACTAATGAGTCTTTTGTAGTCAAACGGTATATTTAACACGAATATATGCTATTTATACAAACAGTTAATTACAGTTGATAATTAAACATATACAGATTGATAACTTTTTATTGTGTTTCTGTAAAAAAATTAACATGACCAAGCTATAAATTCAAGAACAACAGATAAATTATGAAAGATAGGTTTGGTTGGAAAATTGAATTGATCAGTAAGATGTGGCTTGACTTTTGATATTTTTGATAGAGTCAGATATAAGACCAGACGTTATGTATTATGATGCATTATCAAACTTTGAACATTTCGCGCATAGTTAAAAGTTTTGTTCGACAAATTTATATCTTGAACATGAATTCGATCATTTTAGTCAATAGAAAATCTTCTGTTCAAAACAAATAAATGGGGATGTAGATTGATTTGAATATCCATGAAAAGGTTAAAAATTAAATCAGCCAAACATCGTACTTATATTCGGTACACACATACATTTTGGCTTTATTTGTAGCCCGCTTCCATGTTGAGCAAGCTGTAATGTGATTGTTTTTTTTGCGTGCCAGTTCCTTTAAATGTGGGTCCTCTTTGCAGTCTGTGTTGAAACTATATCAATTTCTTCGAAAAATCAGAGACACTTTTTGGGCTTAAACAACTGAAGCTTGAAGGGCCGGCTGTAAATTGTAAGATAAAACAATATATGTACATTGTCGGAAATATGAAATGTATTTGTACTCGCTAAGAAACAGGAAAAAAACTCGACAGGCCTCATTTTTTCGTCCTGTTTTTAAAGTTTGTAAAAATAAATTTTACATTTTCCAACTGTGCGCAAATGTGGTTTTTGTATGATACAAAATTTATAAAAGAAACAAAAATATACCATATAAATAAAGAATTTTGTTGCTGGCGCTGTATAAAACATGTATAGACAGTAGAGTATCCATTGACATGAAGTTATATTATTGTTGCTTTTCGGTTTTTGATCCTGAAGTCTAGGTTGACATGGATTTTTCTTTGGAATGGTAATGAATCTGAAGTTTTGAATGATCAATATTGGAAGGAAAACTGCTATACCAATCTAAAACATAATATACAAGAGAACTAACACCACATTAAAACCTGTCAGCTATAGTTTAAAATGTCTAACGAATATTGGATGATAACTATATTGAAAGTAAAAGGAATAAGCCGTGTTTCTTCAATGTCGTCGATAAATGTCATGCATATGATCCTAGTTTCAAAACTGTCAAAAATAAGAGTCCCTTTAAAATGTTTATAAAAACAATTGTTGTAACCAAATGTTACATGTCTGACTTAAATTATTGAGCTTTAGAAGTATGATGCCAATTATAAAAGATCATCTGGCTATGATGTGTTATTATCAGTTGAATCATCTCATTAAACAATATTCGACGACCTGATAAGACGACCTATGGCATACATATAGGTATTATTATGCGTTTATTTTGTGTCATTGGCCAAATGGGATGCGTCAAACTAATACGTATTCATCATGTTCATGTATAACTGTCAAATCACTGTCCAAGGTTAGTAATTGAAACTGTCACAACCATAGGCCGTAGATTTTCAAGTGTGAATTGTTTAACATGTAGTCGTCTCAGCCTTTTGTTACTGACAGCACAGTATAAGTTTTACTCATCGTTAAAGGCCAATCGGTGATGACCGACTAAACACATTTTTAAAGTTTAAACTACCTTGCTTTCTGTAGTAGAACATGGCCACCAGGCATATTCTGATGGGATATATTTTCCGTACGTTGCCAATAAAATGCTGATTTAAAACATTTTAAAGATACTTTTCAAAGTCTTCAATCACAACTGTTACAATATTGCAGTTAATATCAACACTTTTTTTTTACACGGACATTCTGTCGGTGCCTATTAACATATAGAGCACAGTTTGTATTATATAACAGATAAAAAGCACAGGGTTTTTGTTTTGAAAATAATAGCAAAAATGTTTTTTTGTTTACAATCGTGTGTGATCCTCGAACACATATTGTGTATTTATGTTAATTGTCTTCTTTCACCATTAACATGTTATGGTTCAAGCTGTTATATATATCAAAAACACTAATGATATAAGTAGACTCCGAATGTTATCATTTTCGCATAAATCTTAATGTTAATGTATTGTGTCAATAATTTTGTGATTGTTAAATTAAAATGGTGATGAAAAAGAAAATTATCTTTTTTATTAAGATGTCTGTCAGACATGTTTTAAGTATATCCTGTCAACAGGGGCAACCAAACGCTGTACCACTCTATGTTTATCATTGCTGACATAATAAAATAAGCAACTTACCCTCCAGGATGGTGTATATAAAGCAATATCTCCATACCATATACTATTAATCTTTGCTTGACAGGCTGTGTGCGCCATGAATTTGGTCAATTTTTGCGAGTACGCAATTTCTAAAGGTGTGGAATTGTACCGATTAACCTTTGTGACCAGTGTTTTAAGAGCCTTTTCTCGATCGATATTATATAATTCTGTTATCACAGCACAAGCTTGGTCTTCAAAGAATCTGAAGTTATAACAAAGGTTGTAAAAATACTAAGGGTGCAATACAAACATAAGTCTAGACAGCACATACGCGTCAACCATCCAAAACGAACAAAGAACATAACAGCATACAACATACTTCTCAGTTTACTAAACACTTTTAAATCAAAGGTCATTGAAATGTGCCCTAGAATACTTTTCATCAGCAGCTCCATTTGTGACATGTGTCATGAAGTTGATTGTGTTTTTTCTTTTATTTAAATAAGAGATATTTGTTTTTTGAAAAGTGATAGACTATTTTCATATTAATCAACAAGATTCTGCAATGATTTAAAGATAAAAATATGCGGTAATGATCTTAGTTCGTTATCACTCTGATTATTAAATTTGTGTTTTGTTTTTCTTGATATGGTTGCAGATAATGTAGAATTTAAGACAACAACAATGGTGTCAAGAATCTAAGTATAAGTACCTTAGTATACGGATAATACAAAGGCTGCATATATCATGTATGATTTACAGAGTTTTTATGCTAAGATATCCCTTCTGTTAAATATCCTATATATTTTGCATATCATAAAGGATTAACTGCCTATATAGAAACGCATGACATTTTTATGCCTTTTCGTTACTTTTACTACTACCAATTACAGCTAAGGCAACGTTAATAAAATCCTTTTAAGTTAGTATTTCGAATCATGTTAAATTTTATCAACAGAAATTTAACAGAAAATGACAAAAAGATATCATGTCAACACATGAAACTTCCTAAGCCAAAAACTATTTTTTTGGAAGAAAACTTTAATATAGTCTGGTTCACAAATATGGAGCAGTTTACCAAATGGAATAAAGATAAGTAATACACTTTTATCTTTGAAAACAAAATCTTACAAATTTTTCTTGAATAGGGCGGATTAATATTCTGTTTCATTAATATCTATATAAAATTGTATATTGTGTATATGATATTATAATGTTGTATGTTATTTATAAATATGTTATTATTATTTTGAGGACTCTCAGGAAGATTAGTTGAAATTAGGGGATTATCCTCTTGAAATAAAGATTATGTATTTATTCATTTATTTGATATGCTGACTACTGGTATGATGAGATCCTCGGCGATGAAACGTCCACCAGCAGTGTCATCGACACAAAATTGATGTATAAACTCACCAAAAATATCAGGCTTATAATTTGTAGCTCAAGAGCATGATGAGGGCTTATATCAGGTTGTGTTTTGATAAAGGTTTAGTCTGCATATAGTTTGAAAACTCGACAGAAACGCTCGAATTAAAACAATACAGTCGGAAGGCAAAATCAAAACACGATGTTGAAGAGCATTGTTTTTTTCGCTAGCCAAAAAATCTGAAAATTTGTAGTAATTGTTGTTCTTAAGGTGGCTGGGGCGTCTTAATTAAAATCCATAGAAATTTTTAATAATTTGTCAAAAAAAACTTTTTATCATGCTATTATTTTGGCACATCACATTACAAATGAAGAAGTATTAACTCCTTTAGTATGCATTATGAGTATTGTAACGTCAGTTGTGGTCAAATTTTCAATAATTCTTAACAGTTTTTAGGCATAATTTACTTTGGCCGCCACCCATGATCCAGAAAGTTTTTGTGTCTAGGGATTCAATATGAGATTGGCAACTTTTGGTTAGAAAACATTTTGGATTGTAAGTTGCAGCCAAGTTTTCTTCAAGCTTTTAGGTCCGAAAAATGCACAAAATCATCGTATTTTGACAATATATCTAAAATGTGCCGATTCTGAAGCCAAGAATGTACTCCAATGAAGAAATTTATTTTAACAAAGAAGTAAGGCTTTTGAAATGGATCTATTTAAGAATCAAATTATAGCAGTTTAGAAATTTTATGATAAAGTTGAAATTCAAGGCCATATTTGGCCTTAAGTGAACCTTGTCCTTTGTTATATGCTTAATAAATATGAGGTTGTTTATGGCTTGGGTACATAACTTCAATGTTTCAAATAATTAAAATGTTTATAAACATAATATTTACAGAAAATGGCAATGTGAGTGACATTTCTTGTGAGCATCAAATACTGACAACTCGGCTGGTGAAACCCTCAGAGTAGAAACGTGCATCAGCATGGTATTACATGTACCTGGTGCTATTCTATGGTGTCCCCACTTGCTTGCTACTTTCATATCAGAGTGTGCTCGTTTGCACATTTGTATTTGTTTCATCTCAAAATGTTTAATTTGATTCAATATTGTACATTTTGAAAGCACCAAAAGAACAATAAATTTGAGAGTAAAAAAGGTTCTATTTTGATTTGAGCGTCAATGATGTGCCTGTAAAACGAAACGAACGCAAAAAATACTGACGAAGGATATCTGTTATCCGAAATATTTATAGATAATTACATTTAATGTTTCCTTTTTTTAATATTGGTGTTGTTTTGTACACTTTTTAGGCGTTTATATAATTTATTTATTGTGTGCATGTATCACAATGTATCAATACTCGTAAAGATCCAGCGCCCTCGTAAGACAGATCGTTGACTAATATCTAGACGTTATATATATATATATATTTATATAAACAAGTCTAAATTGAAAACAACGTTCAAACCTATGATTGCGTTGGATAAGAACCACAATTTTTATACGTGTGCATGCAAAAAAATTTCTAGGTAGAGGGGTCTAAATACAGCACAAACAACATTTTCCAAAAGACCAAAATGAGTGAAAATTTTTTTTTTAACAAAACGCATTTGACTAGCAGGTCGAACAACTGATGTTCTTAAACCCTGCTGACTGCCATTGGCGATTGCAAAATAAACGGATCACAAGATGTAACAAAATAGATCTTTTAAATTATTTATTACCAAACAGAAAACAATAAACTTGCGAAAAAGATGGTATACCGCAAACACGAGGTGCAAACATTTGTACACCATATCCGGATTTCGACAATTAATGTCTCTCCAGTGATGTTAGGAATCGAAACGGTATTTTGAAGGCCATATAATTTACCATATAATATATATTATAATATAATATATATATATATATATATATATATATATATATATATATATATATATATATATATAACCAGTCTAAAAGGGTACAACATCACCAAAAAATGACAATAAACGAGCAAATGTAACTATAAATATTTCGGATAACAGATATCCTTCATCAGTATGAGCACGATGTAAAATGAATCAGATCAATGTATTCTGATTATTAAACTATAGCAATCTTGAATTCTATACAATAAAAAAAGTGAAACAGTTTCACCCGAACATCATATGTAGAGTGCTAAAGTTAATTATAGTTACATTTGTTCGTTTATTGTCATTTTTTGGTGATGTTGTACCCTTTTAGACTGGTTATATATTATATTTTGTAGTGTACTGTATCATATTTATATGATCCATCGCTCCGTAAGATTTATCGTTGGCTATTATTCAGTCATTATATATACATGTATATATATATATATATATCTATGTTAAATGTTAGAAATTTAATTTACTTATTACGATTTTGCATTCTTTGTCGTATAGTACATGCATTTCAATTTGAAAAGCATAGTGTCTCACCTAGCGTTTTCGTTTAATGATGCAGTGAGATCCATAAGATTAGAAAAGTGTGCCCTGTCAGCCAATTCCTTCAGCACTGCACTTGCAAATAAAGCAGAACCTGCAAAAATGACACACTTACACATGTTACAGTTAAAAATATTTGGACATGAACAACTATCTTGTTTATGAAGTTTCTGAAAATTGAGATATAAATTATCTTAATCAGTGAAAGCGTATATTATATGATAATATTTTTTTTTCGCTGATTAAGTAAAGCTATGCATACAGTTGGTCATATACAATTTTCTGGTTCAAACTCGACCAAAACATGCTTGCATTAAAGAGGAGACGTTTAAAAATTACAAGAAACAAATGCATCTATGATCAACAAGAAAGGATGTGAACAAGGTCATACACAAGCATTATACAAAAGGAATTACCTGCACCGTAAAGGCATATTTGAAAAATCCATAGATGACAAAATTTGAAAATTTAACCGAAAAACAACGCCTTGATAAATAATAAAAAAACAAACAATACACAAAAATAATAATGTCAGACAGCAATTAACGTCGACCAATGGATGACGTGCTCGGATATACAAGTTTTAAAACTTTATATATGAACACAACTTCGAATTAATTATTGCACGTAATAATTGACGATCCTCAAGTAAATTTCATTTATGAAGAAAAAAAGAAAAACATTAAACGTTTAACCAGCATAATTTCTAAATTTGATTGTCACTTTAACGTTACCTACTACAAGATACGTATTTTCTTAGTTGTACGACCTTGATGAAATGATGAAAAATGAAGTCTTCACGAATTAGTTTATAATTTGTAAGCATTATTTTGTAATATTTCAACGAAATAAAAATAAAATATAACATTTATAAAATGTATACTGTGTTAATTTAGTTGAATTATTTTGTAATAATGAAGACAGTAATAATTAAAAAAAAAACAAACTGAAAACAATGTATCTTATTAAGGGTTTTTGTTGTTTGTTAATTTAAACGACTAGGATATCTCCTCCTTGAAATTTAAAATGATGTATTTTGATTGCGTACTCAAAACGTTTTTTGCGTATAGCGACGTTAAAAAGGGATTATCGGTGGAAATACATCAAAGAACAATATGGTTAATATCTTTGAGCGTTATCGCTAGTTTATATAATATCATTGACAATATAACAAATTGATTAGGAAATTGAAATAGATATTAGAATATGTGATATGAGTGCCCATGAGACAACTCTTCATCCAAGTCACAGTTTGTAAAAGTAAACCATTATAGGTCAAAGTACGGCCTTCAACACGGAGCCTTGGCTCACACCGAACAGCAAGCTATAAAGGGCCCCAAAAATTACTAGTGTAAAACTATTTAAACAGGTGCAAGAAAATGCAGCGGGTTTACAATGTAAATACAACATTAATAAAACAAGGGGGTGAAATGGTGGTAAAAGCTTTTTTTCTGTCTTATTTACATTATCAGATTGTCATAATTTTAATACAGTACTAAAGGATACACTTAAAGGGTGTGTGGATAACATTAAAATATGGCTACTGATAAACTGTTACTGTAAATTTAGATAACATTTACTATTCAACGTTTTCTCTGCCTGTTGGTTTTTTTTTTTTTTTTTTTTTTTTTGAACAAAAACACTTTAAAACAACCTAGTCATTCACATATCTAATATTAATGCATGTTGAAGAGAAGTAATGTTTCATGAGAAACATCTAAAGGAGACAAAAAAGTGAATCAGACAGCTCAAATTGGTTCCTTGTGTAGGATCTGAGTCAAATGTATGTTTCGTAGCCAGGCGTTATCTTTTTTCAGTCCTTCATGAACGATGGCCATTATATTTTTCCAGTCTCACTTTTCGCTATCAACATGCATAATATGTATCAAAACTTTACAGTCAATGTTGATCTGCTCTAAAATTGTGTTAAAACTCCCAAGCATGCATTTAGTTTTTTTTAAAATACTTTTTATTGCATTTTTCTGACAAGTTTGAATCTCTTTTTCGTTGGGATATTTAAGGCAAAATACAAAGTCAATAACTTTTATCGCCTTTATTATACAGCAAATTACATGATCTGTGCATTTATATACAGAACATGAATGAGTATATGACACAGGTTTTGACAAACAATACAATTCAATTATCATAGATATTGTCATAATTATAAATCAACTGTTACAGAACTTTGAATTTTTCGAAATACTTGGGATATTCTATCCCTAAAAGATTACCTGAGCTGTTTTTGGCAAAACCTCTCAAAATTGTGGGTCCTCAATGCTCTTCAGCTTCGTATTTTATGTGGCTTATAATCTTTACTGATTCGAGTGTCACCGATGAGTCTGTTTAAGACGAAACGCGCATCTGCCGTACACAACTTTAAACCTGGAATCTTCGATGACTTATTCATGGGATATAGTTATCAGTTTCATTGAGAGTGTTGGTATTATAAAATTCAATTTAAATTCTATTTTGTTCATGAACAAATGTGGTTCAACACAGTTAGATAGAATATCACTGGAAAAACTGTTCACTTAAGATTTGATAAATGGCAAAGGAATGAAAACTTACGCCATAAAGGTGTGAGTAATATAGATTTGTCTATATTTGATTTATTTTTTATTAAACATGGGACTTTCGTTATATCTTTCGCCTTTCTTTTATTTTGATAATCTAATCTCTGAAACCATATCAAGGTATTTGTAAGAACATTCTTAAAATGTTCAGTGATCATGTAATATCACTGGTCATTTTCATGGATAATATATAATCACTAATTATTTAAGTGATTATGGAAAATCTCTGAAAAATCAGGGATTCTACATAATCCTTGATTATGCAAATTAACTGTTTCACATATATATATATATATATATATATATATTATATATATATATAAGTCTAAATTGAAAACAACGTTCAAACCTATAATTGCGTTGGATAAAAACCGCAATTTGTATACGTGTTCATGCAAAACAAATTTCTTGGTAAAGGGGTGTAAATACAGCACAAACAACATTTTCCAAAAGACCAAAAATGTAAAAAAGTATATTTTAACAAATCGCATTAGACTAGCAGGTCGAACAACTGATGTTCTTAAACACTGCTGACTGCAATGGCGATTGCCAAATAAACGGATCACCAGATGTAACAAAATGGATCTTAATTATTAATTTAATACCAAACAGAAAACAATAAACTTGCGGAGAAGATAGTATACCGCAAACATGAGGTGCACAAATTTGTACACCATATCCGGATTTCGACACTTAATGTCTCTTCAGTGATGTTAGGAATCGAAACGGTATTTGGAAGGCCATATAATTTACCTCAATTTAGGATATACTCTTGAATTTTGAAGAGTCGAATAGGATGAACGGATCAGATAAACCTGAAGGCAAATATAATTCAAGCTCAAACGAAAAAATATAAACAAGTCTAAATTGAAAACAACGTTCAAACCTATGATTGCGTTTGATAAAAACCGCAATTTTTATACGTGTGCATGCAAAACAAATTTTTGGTATATATATAAGTCGTCTGCACATTGCGATGTTGCTGTTGAAGTGAAAGAAGTACATGCTTAAGCCCCAGTGGGAGAGGATTTAAAGAATCAAAATATTGATATGTTTTATTCATAATTCCTCTTAAATGTAGCCCAACAATGTTAGACCTGGAAATTTGCGTCAACAATGTTTGTTCTTCCCTAAGCGGGATTTGAACCCCTATATCTGTGACATCGTAGCAACAACGCCAGCACTGTCTCCAGCGCCCTAGACCACTCGACCAACTAGGCTATATAAAAATATAGCTTTCGAGAGTTGAGTAATGCCTTTCTTCGGTTTTATCTAGAGTTGTAACATAGAACATGAATCATAGATGAAAGTAGGGTGGTATAACTTTGAGATCTATTAGTAATGTACATAAAATGTCATTACCATATCGTCGCATCAATTTTGCTTTTATTATGTAGGTGTAAACTTTTGAAAACTTTGGGACAGACGTTATCCATCGGATAACCCGTCGGGAAACTATGGCGTTATATATATATATATATATCAATGGCAGTCAGTAGGGTTTAAGAACATCAGTTGTTCGACCTGTTAGTCAAATGCGTTTTGTTAAAATATATTTTTTCACTCTTTTGGTCTTTTGAAAAATGTTGTTTGTGCTGTATTTAGACCCCTCTACAACGAAATTTGTTACAGGCACACGTATAAAAATTGCTGTGTTTATCCAACGCAATCATAGGTTTGAACGTTGTTTTCAATTTAGACTTGTTTATATATATATATATATTGTATAATACTTAATTAATATATCAAGTCTTTGAATCATCTTTTATATATCATGGAGCAAAAAATCTTACACGTATGGTCAGTGTCTCGCTTCCAGAAAGTAATTGCCATTTCTTTCCAATTCGCCAGAACCGCCAAAACAAAAAGATGATAGAAAGGTTTGTCCCTATACTCTATATCTATCCCTGTGTTTTCTGTAAATAAAACAGAACGTGGTCTATTATTATTCATTATAAATTTTTACATATGGCCCTTTTTTTGTTTAAGGTCTATGAAGTCTGAAATTATTGCATAGTTTATACGCAATCAATGTTATCTGGTATGAAGTTGTTTTGTTATCGAATCTTTTTATTTCCGATATGGTTACTTTTGCTGTGCACTATTAGCCATTGTTCATTGACATTACATTATTTGCATGTCAGTGTATTGCCATCTTAATTTATACTTTAGTACAAATGATACACACACGCATTAAGGTGGATCATCGGTGTATATTTTCTCAGATTGAATAGTCTTATATAAGCTTGGGGCACCTGAGATAACCCCAAGTTTTGGTGGGGTTCGTGTTGCTTTGTCTTTAGTTTCTATGCTGTGTGTTGTGTACTATTGTTTGTCTGTTTGTCTTTTTATTTTTGTTGGTTATGGCATTGTCAGTTTATTGTCGACTTATTAGCTTGAATGTCTCTCTTGTATTTGTTGCCTCTCTTTTAGTTTAACATTTCTATCATATCTTACTCTCTTCCTCAGGAGTGAAAGTTGCCTTCTGTGATATTTATATAAAAAAAGACGTAAAGATTTCATTATTTGGTCAAACATATCAATAATATTTAATGAAAATGACTTAATTAAAGGTTTTGTGAATTTCGATACTCATTGACCAATGTTGATATCGACGTATTCAACTCATATATTCTGCGAATCCAACAGGTCAATTATATGTTTTTGTCTTGTATGTCTTCCCCTAAACATGACGTTGACTATAAATACAAATTAGGATTTGTGTCAAGGGTGTTTCAACTGCAGCATAACAATTATACTTTAGGATTTCGTCAGCATTCATATCAACTCTACCTTGACTTGCAGATGTCACTACAAGGTAAGATAATATTTATAGTACAGTCGGACATATGTGCCCGATTTTTTGACAATTTTAACTTTTATGTCTGTTTGTTTTGTTTACACAGCATTGTCAATTTAATGCATTTTATTTTGCCACTGTCTAACAAGTGAGAGGTTTAGGTAGCTATAAAACCAGGTTAAATCCACTATTTTCTACAAAAGGAAATGCCTGTACCAAGTCAGAAAGTGGACAGATATTTTCCATTGGTTTGACGTGTTTGAGCTTTTGATTTTTCAAAATGATAAAGGACTTTCCGATTTAAATTTTCCTTGGACATTGGAGTTAACGGATTTTTAATACTTTATTTTATATTAAGCTTAAAAGTCCCCACAGCGCCTTAGTTTGCACTTACTGATGAGATACGTTAATTACCAATGAGGTGATTTTATTATCGAAACCACTGTTTTGTCGTCATTTTGTTCTCGAATGTACAGTCCCCAGCAAGGGACTGATCACTGTGCTCGTGCAAACATGATCTACACGATGGGGATTATTGATCGGTCTGTACCTTTTTATTTAACGTGTTGTTGGCTATTAATGTGTTGTTGGCTATTTCGTCTTTTGCTTCGTTTTTTGTCTCTGCAGTATGTCTAAGACTTTTGAGTTAAATGTTTCTAATGTATCTTACTGTTTTGTTCAGAAGTCTTAGATGCCTTCTTTGATTTCCCTACAGAACAGATTTCATATTAAAAAAAAAAAAAAAAAAAAACATGTTCTGGAAATAAAAAAATCAATTTTATGTGTTTGACGTGTATGTCTTTCCCCAAACATGACGCGTACTAGTGGTACGAATTGCGATTCGTGTCAAGGGTGTTATATTTACAGAATAATGTTGCCCTGACGACGCAGCAATATTATTACATGTGGAGTACATGTGTAACAAATATACTTAAAAATTTCATCAGGAGTCATTACAACTCAACCTGGAGTTCACTAGAAGGTTAACCAATATGTGTACATGTAGTGCAGTAGAAAATCTATAAATTTACATATACCGTATACGCCTCTGTTTCATTTTAAACCGTTCTCTAACCATTTAAGGATGTTCGCTACTTTTTACGCGAGCTTTATAAAAGAATGATAGTATACATATAATTGAACTTTTGTTGCATGACAAAGAAACGTTCCTTGTCCTTGATGCTAATATATAAGCCATTGACAACTTGGCAGGAAATTATTTTCTCTTGACTTTGTCATATATTCAACATTTGTATCTTTTTTTCTGTCAAAAACTTTTATGCTGAAAATATTAACTTGCCTTTTTTTTCATTTTGATCTAGTATTTAATGTTTAGTCAATAATTGAATGAGGTTTCCGGTTTAAATTGTCCTTGAAGTATACCAGATTTTTGTTACGTCACTTTGAACTAGGTTAAAGAGGTTCAATTCCCAGAAAGAGACTGATCACTGTTCTTGTACTTACATGTACACGAACTACACGACAGGAATTGTTGATCGGTCTGTAGTAATTTTATTTAAAGTGTTGTTGACTATTTCATCTGCAGTATATCTAAGACTTTTAACTTAGACGTTTCTATCGTATCTTACCCTTTTGCACAGATGTCCCAGTTGTCTTATCTATAGAATAGATTTCATTTATAAAAAAAAAACGTAAAGAATTGATTTCTTGATCTGGTTTTATGAAATTTTTGACTCATTGATCAAAAGTGATATTCAACATCTTAATCTTTAATATTCATAAATGTCAATGATATGTTTTTCCGTGTATGTCTTTTCAAACATTACGCTTACTCTTGGTACGAATTAGGATTCGTGTCAAGGATGTTACACTTCAAAATGCGGTTGCCCTGACGACGTAGCAATCTTGTTTCATGCGCAGTTCATGCCTAACAAATATATTTTCAAATCAAATTATTCATATCATCTCAACTTGGACTTGTCAGATTTTACTAGTAGGTTAGACTGTATTTATATCACAGTCGGAAATCGATAGTTTTACATATATCGTATACGGCTAGGTATTATTCTAACCGTTCTCAAACCATTGTAGGATGTTGCTTCTTTTAAGCAAGCTTTATAAAAGGCTGATAGTATATGTATATATATATATATATATATAAGTCTAATATATATATATACTATCAGCCTTTTATCATAGGTTTGAGCGTTGTTTTCAATTTACACTTTTTTATATTTTTTCGTTTGGGCTTGTATTATATTTGCCTTCCAAAAGACCAAAAAGTGAAAAAGTATATTTTAACAAAACGCATTTGACTAACTGGTCAAACAACTGATGTTTTTAAACCCTGCTGACTGCAATTGGCGATTGCCAAATAAACGGATCACCAGATCTAACGAAATGGATCTTAATATTAATTTAATACCAAACAGAAAACAACAAACTTGTGGAAAAGATGGTATACCACTTATATGAGGTGCAAAAATTTGTACACCATATCCGGATTTCGACAATTAATGTCTCTTCAGTGATGTTAGGGATCGAAACGTTATTTGGAAGGCCATATAATTTACCTCAATTTAGGATAGACTCTTGAATTTTAAAGAGTCGAAATGGGATGAACGGATCATATAAACCCGACGGAAAATAAAATACGATCCCAAACGAAAAAATATATAAAAGTCCAAATTGAAAACAACGTTCAAACCTATGATTGCGTTGGATAAAAACCGCAATTTTTATACGTGTGCATGTAAAACAAATTTCTTTGTAGAGGGGTCTAAATACAGCAAAAACAACAATTTTTAAAAGTCCAAAAAGTGAAAAAGTATATTTTAACAAATCGCATTTGACTAACAGGTCGAACAACTGCTGTTCTTAAACCCTGCTGACTGCCATTGGCGATTGCCAAATAAATTGATCACTAGTTTTAACGAAATGGATCTTAATATTAATTTAATACCAAACAGAAAACAATAAACTACATGTATATGTATATATATCTATAACTTAAATTAGAAAACATAAAGAATAAAAGGTCTTGGTCCTTGATTCTACATTCTACGATATAAACCTTTTAGAATTTGATGGGACATATATTTCTTTAGATTTTCATATATTTAACAGATGCAACTTTTGTCTTTCAAACTATAAACAGAATTAGGTGTTTCATATTATTCACAAAGTGTCTTTTGAAAATTCATGGAATGAAATAATAAGAATACAAATTCGAGACAGCGGGAACAAATTTATTTACAGCACATAGATAAAACCACGGGATTCATATTATCTAAAGTTATAAGAACAAGAGAAACAAAAATCCTTGATATGGAATCTGGTTTTAGTTGTTTGATGTTGTTTTTGTCCTTGGAAGGTACCCTTTATACTTATTTTAGAAATAAAACATTAGTAACTTCTTACCATCTTCATGTTTAGGTTTGTGTTTTTTATAGAGGTTGAATTTTGTATCTCCAAACAAATCTCTGATAAACTCGTCAACAGCAAAAAGTATTGTGTTTGATGTTCGTCTTTTCCTAATCTCTTCCTGGGTCTCTATTTCTATCTCTATCTGCAATGGCAAAAGTCATATGTAGAGTAAAAAATACCTCAACGAGCAACTCATTTCAGCTATTATATGCCTCGAACAGTCAATTTTAGAACCATCTAATCGTAATATTTAACTTTTTTTCAGCAGTCACCAAATGTTTGCAAGAAATCATTATATCAACTCTTAGCAACAGTCATTTTAATAAGTAAGACTGATAGTATAACTGTGACGAAACATATATGCATTGATTACTTTCTACAAATTGAGACTTGAATAGAAAGTTGTCTTATTGGCACGCATACCCTTTCTTCTGATATATAATCAATTTCCTGTCGTTGTGTTGTTGTGCCATGGTAAAGGTTTGTTTATATATTTGTGTGTTTTTATAGTGATTATGATAATAAATCAATGTTGACCCCCTATTTTTGACATTTATATCTATTGTGTCTGTTTGTTTTGTTCACACATCGTTGTCAATATAATGGAATTTGATGCGACTGTCATACAAATGAGAGGTTTAGCTAGCTATAAAACTAGGTTTAATCCACCATTTTCTACCTAAAAAAATACCTGTACCAAGTAAGGAATATAACAGTTGTTATCCATTCGTTTGATGTGTTTGAGCTTTTGATTTTGCTATTTGATTAGGGACTTTCTTTTTGAATTTTCCTTGGAGTTCAGTATTTTTGTGATTTTACTTTTTGAAGTCAAAAATGAGAAGTGGAACCAGTTTGCTAAACACATTGCACAAAGGGATGTGACTTCGTCAATTCATTTTGTTATAATACTTTCAGTTTCCATTGAAAATCTTATTACCGACTTATTTTTCCATAGATATCCCATATTTCGACTGTTTTCTTTAGATACACAGCGCTCAAATCCCCTTTTTATGTTCACTGTCGATTGAAAACTGTAAAACTTTATGAATGGATCCCAGCAATTGGCGATGTTGGAATCGGAATTTTGTAAAATCTCTTTAAAAGGGTAATTTCTCTTGAGTGATCACTTTCGATACTTCCAATAAGTGACTGCAGATTTGACTGTACATGGAGACGGGTCAATTATTAATAAAAATAATTCTTGTTGTTTGCTAACCACTTGTACAAAGTCTTCGAAATATTGAAAAAGTTAATACATAAATGCAATAATGTCATTTGTGTATATCCGTATTGTTGAGTAATTTTCGATTTTAAAAACTGTTCATCAAAAAAAAAAAAAACAACCAAAACCTTTAAAACAATGTCATGATAGAGCCTATTATTCAATCATCACTCATTCTTTGATTGTACATCTTGTATTGCTGAATAGCGGCATACATATGAAAAATACTTTTTTTCATTTATTTCCTATCAAATCAGCATTTGGTTATTTTCTATTGATGATAATGTATCTACTGAATATAATCTTCGTAAAAAAGACAACTACTGATCAACTTTTGGTGAAAGTTAGAACTACACAGATTTTTACTATTTGAGCATTTTAGTGTTCCTGTCATATTTTCGTTTTCTATCTTAGTTACAAATATATCAAAAAACTCTATACCACAAACATTGCTTAAATTTGGTTTCAGATGAGAAAATTTTGTTAATTGCAAACAAAGACAAAAAAATAGATAACGACGGAAAGGGTTCACAGTCTTCACACTAGCTCGACTGTCCAAAGGATGATAAATTGTTAAACCCCTTACCTCGTACTCATCGGTTTCCTTTTTTATCTGTTTCTGAAATTATCAGAGAAAAAAAAAACAATATATATTATGGTTTAATATTTCTGGTATTTCTATTATATGTTTGCTTGCTTAGTTTAAAGACAGTTTATTATTCGTGATTACAGTATGTGTGTCTAATATGCCTAAATATATTTTGGATTTCGGGTTTCCACAAAGTTTATAAGTTACATTAACGTTTGTAAATAAACGTCTCTGGACTCATTTTTACCTATGCCAAGCAATACTTAAGATATAAGAAATAAGCAACACGTTTTGTATACACATATAACCTCTCACACACGTTTACACAGGTATTCACAATTCATTTAAAAAAAAAAAAAAAAAAAAAAAAAAACAATTGTCCAACTACTTACCGTATCCTCTTTTTTTTCTTCCTGTTTCTCCAATTTCTACAAAAAAAGAAAAAAAAACCAAGTTGAATATAAAAGATTATTGCATACCAGTTATTTGAATCAATTATAAGAACGTTGTATTTGCTATATCGTCATCTAATACATCAGGGTGTGACGTTACGGATATTTAGAAAACAGAGAAACGGAATGTAGTCATTTATTCTAGAATTATATTCAAACATTACTAACCAATTTGAATTGAATGTGTAGGCCAAGCTGCTTGTGTTTTGTGTTGATGAGAAAACTTACAATAATCACTAACATGAATGACATATGTTAGGATTACAGTACTTAGTAACATGTGAAAAGACAAGACAATTATATTTAAAGGAGAGTTATTTTGTATAAATTGTTTTCTTTTTTTTAATTATTATTTTTGTTGTAAGGGGATTCTAGAGAAAGGACGTCATTTGCAATGCTGTTTTTTTCTGTTTAATTAAATATGGTTATAGAAAAATACAGCGTTGACGTTCTGTGACAAAATTTCAGTTATATTAATATATTTACTTGCCCTACTGCTTTTTGTTCTTTTTTTTTGTGTTTTTTAACAATGTATTAAGGTTTCATATGCAGTTTTTGTCAGATATTAGCATCCGAAATACGGCTATTTCTAAGTTTAGTGATAGTTTAATTTGAACTTTGGGTATTTTAATTTATTTAATACTTCCCATAAGTTAAATACTTTTTCCTTTATACAGAAATTAATATATCCTCAATAATTTATGACTGATCCTTGAGACACTATGCTTTTTTTGTTTGTTATAAAGAATGCCCTAAAGTTGATTTTTTTATAGTCAAAAAGTAAATGTTCTAGTTTATCAATTGCCTTCTGTTGATAAAGCTCGAGCACGATCCATTATGAAGCATGTGCTATAGTTTTCTCGTTTCTCAGAAATGTTTCGAAAAAAAAACTCATCGCTGATTATAAACAACATTCCTTGAATTTAATTAATGTAAGTTTTTTGTTTTTGTTTTCGGGGCCGTTTAAGGCGGACTATACGGTATGGACATTTTTCATTGCTAAAGCCAAAAAATGCTTACTCTCGCTTCATTTAAACGCCTGTGGTTAGTTGTCTCATTAAAAAAATACCACATCTCTTTTTTATTTATGCATTCTGGATCAAACAAAAGAGAGTTGTTAAATTCTAATGACACCTTCAAATACTAAAGTTACTATGATTTGTGTTGAATAACAAAAGGTAGGTATTTCCCTTAGGAGTACATTGTAGAAATAATTGTATACAGTGATAATTTAAATTGTAAATTTCCTTCATGTCTAGAACCTTTTCTTATGCTTATTAGCTTATTAATATTTTGATAGTTGAAAGTATCAGAATGATAAGTTTAAAATCATTGACACTCTGATTATCAAATGCCTCAATTACGTTACAGACTTTGTCATATTACGCAAGGGTAAAACGTTTTGGACCTTAAAATGCAATTCCCTCACAAAAGAAAATGAATAACGAATAGCTAACACAATGTTATGTAGTAATAATCGGTGATTCAATTTTGATATTCTTAAGAATCGTGATGCTTTGAGTTACTTACCTATATCTGCCAATTATATAATAAGAAATTTTCAAAACAGAGAAAACGAAAAACTAATTGCGTACAAATAAAATCAAATAATAAATATAAGTAAGTTTTAAAATGTAAGATATATACCAGCAGACAGTGAGTCCCGTAGTTAGCTCAGATAAGTTCTACTTGAAAGGGTATTAGTTATACGTGAAGGGGTATAAGTTATATTTGAAATATGATAATGTATACCAGGCTAACAATACGAAATGTACATTGACTAGAACACATAACTTTCTTTATGAATATATAAACTGCACTCAGTAAAAAATATACTGAATGTTACTGAAAAGTTAACTTGCATATTCAGTTTAAAATACACTTCACATGTATGCGTCCATTGAAATTGCAATTTATTGATAGTTTCGAAATTTTGTAAATTACAACAAATGCAATGATTATTTTAAACGTTATTTCTTTCATTGATAAAAGCTATATTGTGTTAAAATTTTGAATCATCTTTGATCTTCCCTATGTGAAAGTTGTTTTGAAATAATTCTAAGCTGATGGTTCATTAACACAATGTCAACATATATCTATGATTATATTTGGTAATAAAAGATAGTTTTACTACGAGCATAGATTCAGAGAAAGCCCTATACATATCACTATATTCATGCAAAACAAATTTCAAAAACCATTACAAATGCATGTGACATGGGGAATTTCTTGAGAATATTATCATAATCATTAATTTCATAACATCTGAAAATTTAATATATAAACATGAATTTTTGTATTCTCTAATAACAATTATCTTTAAAAACTCATCAGGTATACCAAAGTTATCATTGTGTACCCAAAACGCGTGTTCTTTAAAATACGAATCAGTGAAGCTCGATTTAAAAATTTGAAATGCGAAATAAAGTACAAATTCAAAAAAAGTTATTGAATAACGTATCGTATCTTATCTAGCAAATGTTTAGTCTTTTGATTTTATAATATAGTTTACGTATCAATACGCATGGTCTTCTCTGTTATGCACTGCTTAGATAAATGCGTTTGATAACAGTATTGCATTAGTAAGGAAACAGTCTACAATAAGTCATCTTTGACGTATAGTCCTAGATGTAGAATTTGTGTTTTTTTTATTATAAGTGCATTGGAAAGCTTGAATGCATTTATAATTAGAAAGTGTGTTAATAGTATCAATTTTTGCTAGTTGAAAAATGATGTCAATGCATAATGAACACATGTGTATGTATCTGCTAATATTGAACTAACTGCTAAATATTCTGTACCTTAGATAAATAAGTCATCTTTTCAAGCCAAGCTCTGTGATATGTGTACATATTTGAAAGTATGTTACATACCAAGGACAGAAATATATGATTTAAAATTTCACTAGAAAAAGAAGAAAAAAAAAAAAACAACAAGAAATTCAGGAATTCCAAAATGAATAAAACAAAAAGAAGGTAAATAAACAGAAAATTGATAAAAAGTAGCCAAATTTAAGCTAAGTTAAAGCAAGAAATAAACTAATCAGCGATAGCAAAAAAAGCAAAAAAAAAAACAAACAGAAAGACATTAAATCAAATAATGAAAAGCTTATTTTCAACACTTTCTCACTCACTTCAATATTTGAAACCTGAAGTATATAAATCAATTATGGTATGTAGGACGCATGCAAATAGGTACATAAATAACTTATTTTACGCAATGTAAATAAGGAAATATACAAAGCGAAAACAAACGCTCTTAGTAATAAGTGCATCTCAAAGAAAGTCAATATATTTGTCACCAAAAAATGATTTTGTAAGCATAGAAGTAAAAATGTTGAGTCATGTTAGTAAAAGAGAGCCTCTTTTACATATGTTTGTTGGAATATTGACGAGTTTCTAAGAGAAGGTGTGGTTTGGAAAGCTTTGATGTTTAATATGCAGCCTCCTCCCTCCCCTTTTCTATGTATCGATTCTTTTATAATAAGAAGTAGGCTGTCAATAATAAGCATTATTTTGGCAGTCAGGTTTTGAACTTAAGACATGACATGCTTTTTGTTTACGTAGTGCATGTAGCGAAAAAGTATTGAATACAACTTTTTGTTTGATCGGATGTTGGCCTTTTAGAAATACGATCATTAGCAAAACTATCAGCCACTTCTTTATGTAAATCTATCTTTTGATGTGTCTTTGATATTTTCAATATTTTCACCAAGACATAAAACTATCTTTTAATTTTACACCTTTCAAGACCTTGCATGGTATGTATGCATCGATTAAAAAAAAAAAAAAAAAAAAACACGATGGTTAAAATAGCTCTTATTGTAAATTTACCTGTTCAATAAGCTTAATTGGTAAATCTTCTGGGCTTTCCTTAATGCACTGAAATATGTAGTTACAAAATGTATGTTTGATATAATCGATGTCAGTAACAAACTTGGATGAGGGTGTTGTCTCTTTGGCACTCATACCACATCTTCTTATATATATTTACAGCTTGTTTTTTTAAATGTATTAATTTATAAAGGGATAACAATAAAAATAAAACATTGCATTGTTGATTGAAACAATAAGGAACGCTACAGTTTTCTGCGTCATATCGTGATTTTAATCCCGAAATTTACAGCCAGGTTACATGGTGGTAAAAACTAAATTTCATCTTAAAAGGAATAATTGCAACGTTCGCATTTATACATTCCATGTGTGTCTAAATTGCAACATGATTGCAACAAAATAAAAATGTGTAATGCATAATATATATCTTTTAAATTATCTAAAGCTGGAAAACAGGCCTCATTATGAAAAAAAGGTATGTCTGCTATTAAATATTCACTAAAAATCTAATTTATGAAATTGCGTTTGTAAAGTTTGTACTTTGTATTTCGTTTGCTTTACACAATATATATTTATTGTTTTCTGTTTGGTATAAAATTTATAGTTAAGATCTATTTATTACACCTTGTGATCCGTTTATTTGGCAATCGCCAATGGCAGTCAGCAGGATTTAAGAACATTTGTTGTTCGACCTGTTAGTCAAATGCGATTTGTTAAAATATACTTTTTCACTTGTTTGGTCTTTTGGAAAATGTTCTTTGTGCTGTGTTTAGACCCCTCTAACAAGAAATTTGTTTTGCATGCACACGTATAAAAATTGCGGTTTTTATCCAACGCAATCATAGGTTTGAACGTTGTTTTCAATTTAGACTTGTTTATATTTTTTCGTTTGGGCTTGTATTATATTTGCCTTCGGGTTTATATGATCCGTTCATCCTATTTTGACTCCTCAAAATTCAAGAGTCTATCCCAAATTGAAGTAAATTATGTGGCCTTCCAATAACCGTTTCGATTCCTAACATCACTGAAGAGACATTAATTGTCGAAATCCGGATATGGTGTACAAAAAAACTTTGCACCTTTGTTTGCGGTATACCATCTTTGCCGCAAGTTTATTGTTTTCTGTTTGGTATAAAATTTATAGTTAAGATCTATTTATTACACCTTGTGATCCGTTTATTTGGCAATCGCCAATGGCAGTCAGCAGGATTTAAGAACATTTGTTGTTCGACCTGTTAGTCAAATGCGTTTTGTTAAAATATACTTTTTCACTTTTTTGGTCTTTTGGAAAATGTTGTTTGTGCTGTATTTAGACCCCTCTAACAAGAAATTTGTTTTGCATGCACACGTATAAAAATTGCGGTTTTTATCCAACGCAATCATAGGTTTGAACGTTGTTTTCAAATTAGACTTGTATATATATATATATAAATGATAAAAATGAATGCATTTGTCTTACCCTCCAGTAAATATATGCTAGTTTATCGAAAACAAACGCTTCAATACTTTCCATTCTTCCCATAGTCAACTCTACTAAGTCCTTTCTGTTTGATATAATCGATGTCAGTAACAACTGTGAAAACATGTCTTTTTTGTATTCCTGTTTAAAAAAAATGTATAAGTTGATGATTTGTAAATACATCTCCGGCCATCTTCTCTTTTGCATGACATTTTTTCTCATATATAATTTAAAACTGTTGTAAGACCATGATGAATTTGTGTTGTCGTTTAGTAAATTTTGTTAATCGTCATAGCTATATGATTTCTTATATTTGATTCTACATTTATTACAAACCTTAAACAATCACTGTTCATTACCGTTCATTTGTGTTTCGAATTATATATTACATGTATATTGTGATATTAACGACAAAAAAAATATACAAATCAACAATTTCATAATATACATGTAGATAATGAAAATCATATCAATATCGCATGAACAGATTTTTCATTAGCTGACTTAAAAGGTGTTCTGGGTTATTTTCCATGTGGTTACATTGGAATGTAACATTACGAAAGCAAACACATGCAAAACAAGTATTTTTCGAGTTAAATCAACGAAAAAGTAATGCAACTAATGGTATAGTATTCAGATGAATTTTTATTATTTCTGTTTTTTTAAAACACAAAATAGCCATTGTTCATGACCTACATTTGTACGCATAAATGAAAGCTACTTAAAAGCGCCCCTGGTAAAATTGGACTTAACACTGCATACGTCTGACAGTTTGATCTAGCTTCCAGTAACTGTCTTCTTTTTCCATAAAACATCATTGACAGTGTTTATGTATTTAAAAACAAAATGACGTGATTCTAGTATATTATGATAAAATTGAGAATGGAAATGGAGAATATGTCACAGAGACAACAACCCGACCAAAGAGCAGATAACAGCCGAAGGCCACCAATCGGTCTTCAACGCAGCGAGAAAATCCTGCACCCGGAACTGGTCCTCAGCTGGCCCCTAAATAAAATTGTATACTGGTTCAGTGAAAATGGACGTCACACTAATCTCCAAAACATATAAAGGAACTAAAATTAAAAATACAAGACTAACAAAGGCCAGAGGCTCCTGACTTGGGACAGGCGCAAAAATGCGGCGGGGTTAAAAATGTTTTGTGAGATCTCAACCCTCCCCCTATACCTCTAGCCAATGTAGAATAAATAAACACATAGCAATGCCAGCTCCAGACTTCAATTAAACTGATTGAAAGATTATGTCTTCATCATATGAAAATCAGGTACAATCCCTCCTGTTAGGGGTTTATACCATCATAAAATATATGAGAAGAACATAACCCGTATCATGCCAACAACTGGTTTTCGAATAATTGTGTTTATTTCCGATGCAAAGACCCTATGAGTGAATCAATATTAATACCAAAATATGCAAACCTTAATGACCTGACAACAGTATCGTAACTATATCCCTTCCGAATAAGTCTGTTTAAAGGTTTGGTTAGCTTTTGAGGTGAATGCCGACATTTTTGTGCTTTGTTAAGAATATTACCATAAAATATTGGATGTGAAATACCTGAACGTATAAGATGTCTGCATGTTGATTTATATTTACGAATGATGTCCTTGTACCGATGATAAAATTTAGTGAATGTTTTGACTAGTTTGTGATATCGAAAACCCTGGTGTAATAATTTTTCAGTATTACATTGATTCCTTTCGTTGAAATCAAATACGTTGTTACATACACGAGCGAATCGAACAAGTTTAGATATATAAACACCATAAGATGGTGACAAGGGAACGTCACCATCTAAAAATGTATAATTAACAATAAGAAATGAAAAATCATCTCTTTTATCATAAATTTTGGTATTAAGCTTCCCGTCAAAGATATAGATATCACGATCCAGGAAAGGGTAATGTTCATTGTTAGTATTATTCATTTCCCGATCAAATTATTGAACGCTTTGTTTCACTGTCCATTACTATAACACCCTTTTATTGCTAAATCAATATAGTTCTCCAATGCTTCATTTTATCAGAATATAACAGGCAATCTATTGGTGTGGCCGTTGTGAACTTGTCTCAAGCTTATGCTATTCATCATTGAAGCATGCTTGGTTTTTGTGTTATAAAAAGCTTGAAACATAGGTTTTGTTAGCAAGACAGTCGTGTACAGATTTTCTCAAATTATCATTCCCAAACCTTTGTTTTTTGAGCCCTCTAGAACTGTATATGGATTGCGTTGATTACTTTTACATATGTTTATACAATGGTAATGTGAAGCAAAAAAGTAAAAAGGGTTTTAATATATACCGCATTCTAACACCTTAGTGAAATTAAGATAATTAGTATCCATTAGGGAAACAAGCAATTGTATACTTTAAAACACTTCCAATGTTGACAATTGTTGGTGGTATATGTTATCAAAACAATGTTCTTCGATACTTTAACTTTTAACTAAGACACAGTCAAAATGATAAAAAAAAAGAAAGAAAAATTTAATTCATATCGACGTCAAGTCGTGTGTTTTTTTGTTTATATTTATAGGAATCTGTCAAATTGTTGCTTAGTAAAGGTAAATAACTACCGAGTAACTCAAAATGTAAGTTAACATATCTGAATTTACAGTAAGCGATGTGTCTTGAAAGTATTAAATTCATGGCAATGGATATGTCTGAAAATTGACCGAAAGGCAGACCATGACTCATTACATAAAATTGAAAATGGAAACGGGGAATTTGTCAAAGAGACAACAATCTGATCAAAGATCAGTAGACAGCAGAAGGCCACCAATAGGTCTTCAATACAGCAAAAAATGACGCACCCAGAGGCGGGACTCAGCTGGCCTCTTAACAAAAATGTGTATTAATTCAGTGAAAATGGAGGTCACACTAAATTCCAAAACATGTAAAAAGTAAAATCACAAAAATACTGCACTCCGAGGAAAATTCAATCGGAAAGTCCCTAATCACATGGCAAAATCAAATGACAAAACACATCAAACGAATGGACAACAACTGTCATATTCCTGACTTGGTACAGGCATTTTCAAATGTAGAAAATGGTGGATTGTAAATGAATTAAGATTAGAAAAAAACATACCAGACTAACAAAGGCCAGATGCTCCTGACAGGCGCGAAAATGCGTTGCGGTTAAACATGTTTTGTGATATTTCAACCCTTTTGGTTTGTTTATTCTTGTTAAGACAAGTTCAATACAAAATGAGAATTTCTATTCAGAATCGATTAACCAGTGATAAATATAAATAGTGAGCAACACAACCCGTTCTGTTTATTAAGGCATGTTAAAGATAGGGAATACATTATATTCGAGGTATATATTCGATTTGTTACAACCGATGTAAAGAGTTCAGGATGGTTGCTTCGGCATTAAGAACTTATCTGCAGCCATTTGTGACATTTAATAACAGAAAATCAAATCATGAAAGCGTCGTTGAAATTAAGATAGTATGAAACAAAGTTTACTATTTGGAATCCAGATTTCAGTATATGGAGCTCACATGTAAGCAGTAACACTCTTTCAAGATAACCATGATCGCAAAAATCTCTGAAGTATTGTATCAACTTAAAGATTACTCAGATAAGGGTACCCATGTATTTGATCTTACCGATCATTTTAAAGTCGGGTATAATGTTATAATTCATTAAAGTATAGACTAAACTCCTCAAAGATACTAGGTTGGTAATTTTGTACGACAGACAAGCGACAGTCTACATGGGACTTGTCAGTAGCGCATTAATTAAAACAGTTGCAGGACTTAATCATGTAACTATGCCCAACTGATTAATCATTAGGTGAAATAATATTCAATTATCCTAGACATAAATCGTTAGTAAAAGTGGTTCATTTACATTTAAAATGCTATTGTAGTTGCGTTCGTAGAATCAGACCCACGTGACAAATGAAATGTTAAAGTGAGTTAAACACCTGTTTAACACATAAGTGAATTAGGATAGTAGCTAGTCATCTTTGTCAAATATATCCGAACCGTAATAAGGACTCTCAGAAAGAGTTCCAAATACTCCCAATGTCTGAATTTTCTTACGTTATCTTACGTCTAGTAGAGGTTTCTCAACATCTTACGAACGAACCAAAATCGCCCTAGCTTCACGTAACTTGCCGTAACGAGAAACAGGGAGCATTCATTTATTTAATAATATTGTAATATCGGTTGTGCACTTCCCTCAGAAATGAGATGTCTTTTACATAAGAAATATACATGTAGGTCTTTTTAAAACCATTTGAGCAGTAGACATATTATATTCACTTGAAATATACATGTATATGATATATTATACTATTTACAATTCAATCAACACAGTAATAAATCTAATTTATCAATAAATGTTGGCGAATAATATGAAATATTTAACCCAAGGACAGTAATCGTACAAGGGATATTGATAAACATCATTTAAATTTTTTAGTACATACATGTAAAAAAGGGTAAATGTAGAAATTTAGTATTGAAGAGGCTAGGATTCTTTTGGAAATTTATCTAAGCTCAGATCAAAGGTAAACATTCCTGCACAAAAAATGAGGTAAAACAAATCTAGGAGTGGACGCCTCTAGGAAAATTTCGGTTTTTAATTTGCAAAAAAAAAAACATTCTCGGATCCGATAAAAATTCGTTGCCACCAACCTCTGAAGTCCAAATAATCACTTCTTCACCTTCAATGATTATTTTTGAGTTATATTCTAGCTAAACTTGCTTACTAAGTAAGATAAATATAGGGTATATTGAAATAAATATTTGGAAAAAAAAAAAGAAAAAACAGTTAAAATAAAAAACAGGTTCTGTAATGTATTGATATTTTTATGGTCTTTTTTATTCTTGTTGTGTTTGTATTTATTATCGTACAAATAAAAGTATAACAAATGTAATTTACTTTGTTTTTCTTGTTTATTGTTTTGTTGAGATTTTATGACATGTTGTTTATATTTTCTTCTGTTTTTATATTTCACTTTTGTTTTTCTTTTTATTTTAGGCATGTTATTTAAAAAAAGGGAACCTTTTAATAACTATGTGACTATCAGTTTTGTTGGTGCTGTAACACTCATACTTTCAACAAGAATACATAAAACTCTTTTACTTAACGATAGATCGAGAGCACCTTTAATTTCTGTAACTGATTTCCAATAAATATTTTTTTCTAAATAAATAAATAGCGGTGTTAACGTTCATTTGGACCCTTTTTACCACAAAATTTGCTCTGAGTACAGACAAACCTGCGCATGTTGAAAAGTGTTAGGCATAGCATGCCCTAGTTAAATAAATTACTAATGCATTGTATGTTTTAGAAAATTTAAAACGTAACTGGATTTTGCAGAACACTTTTCCCGTCCCTTCAGAAGATGATGAAAAAAACATACAGTTGAATTTCACTTGATATGGTCCACTCAGGTACACCAATTATTGTCAGGTATCTGTTGTCATTCTATTGCCAGGTCAATCAATACAGTTCACTTCAATTATTACCTGTGGGGAAGTTCTCAAACCTCTTTTCCAACTTAGGTTTTTTTTAACCTTCTGCAGGAATGAAAAAAAAGTGCACTGTAAAAACCAGTAAAATTTTTGATATTCTAAAACATGAAATATATTTGAATTTCATTTATCTGGGGCATGTTATGCCTTAAAACTTTTCCAGATGCACAGGTTTGTCTGTACTTGGAGAAAATTTAGAGGTGTGCGTATTAGATGAAATTGGTTGTGCCCTTGCATAGGAAGTTAGTTGAGAGCAGAAAAATAAACACATCTCGCACTTGGTACTTTAGTTGAATGGGCCGTACTTGTCGACAATCTTACATTTTGTAAACAGTGCAACATGGGTTTACTTCTTCTAACCAACGAGTTAGTCAAAAGAGGGATGAAGTTTGGTGTTTCTGTACAATGCTTTACAATGTGAAATTACATACATTTATAAAAAAAACATATCTAGCCATGATAGATGCATTCGGAGGTCCCAAGGGGGTGATGAATGTTATAACAACACTCAAATTGCCCTTCATTTCACAGTAGAACCTGAAGGCCATGGAAAGCAGAGCAGGATGAATGATTGAAGAGTTTATCAACGTGAGAATGGAAAAGAGAGGAGAAGCTTTTTGTAGCTGAAATGAGGTTTGGGTTTAAAAGTAAATACAATTAAGTCAATCAATATAAGTTTTAAGGTTAAGTTGTAGCTTTTGACTTGCAGGCTGTTATTTTCATTATTATTATGCTAGTATGATTATTAAATCTGTTTATTTCTATAAAGAATTTCAAGTTTATTTTTGTAACTGATAATATTTACCACTTTATTGTATTTAGCAAAACATTTTAAGAATACCTACTTATATACATTCCTGATCATCAAAATGAACATGTAGATATTTCAGATTTCATTTTCAGAGATTCAACCGTGTTAAAGACGTGAGTGTAATCCCTCAAAACTCACAAAACACACAATTGATAAGGTAAATTAGATCTTAATGATTATGTTTGATGTTTGTTTAAAAAAAAGTCAATCGTTATATATGTAGTGTATCTAAGTAAGTAAGTAAGTAAGACAGTAAGTAAGTAAGTAAGAAAGTAAGTAAGTAAGTAAATTGTATTTCAAGTCGGCATAAAAATACATGATAATAGACAAAACATGCTCTGGTGAACTTTTTAAACGACTATCACATAAAAAATCTGATAAAGGAATAGAATAACTGGTCGTTCTAGCAAAAGTATTCGATAACATTCAATAATCATGAATAAATATAGGAAAATGTATGAAATGAAATGAGTGATGTAGTAGCAGTGTCTGAAACCAGGTGAAATGTTGCTTTATACAATGAACATTAAGTAAAGAGATAAATACACTCTCAGTAATCCGTATCTCTCTAATGCCAACTTATATAGATACAGTTTATTACAAAATCGTAGCTACTTGCATATCAAGGAAATGAAGATAAATTACTTTTGTTTTAATTTCAGAGATGCCAACCCTGTTTATGACTATGAAGAAATTATGCTAAATTGAACACTTTTCTAAGATGAGGAACAGATAATCATGGCCAAAACTGTTTTATTTAAAATTTGTTCTTATCCTAGAAATAAAAGTTTGTCCGGACAAAGAATTCGTGATTTCATACAGCAACATTTTAATATTTTCTAAGTAATGCATAACATTTTTTAAAAATTTTTTTTTATTATTATTTATTCTGTTGTTTTACATTGTTAATTGATATACGTGTTCTATGTTTCGTCTTGAACATTGATAAATGTGAAGCATAAACACATACAATGTATACATGTATTTGCGAATTATCTACTTTGTTTGAAAGTTGACAGCTTCATGAGATGTTCAGTCTATTTGTTTCTCTTTTTGTCCATAATGTAATGATACAGGATTTGAATTTTAATCTATAAAGTTGGACAAACTATTCATACCACTTAGAACAGAGGCAAGCATATTATAGTTGTCAATTAAACATATATTTTGATAAAATAGCATTTACAGTTTAATTCTATTTGTGTAACTTAAAAAGGTTAATTATAAGGCTGTTTTTGCAATATAGATTAGTAAGTCATTCTATGGAGATTTCAGAAAATTACATACTATATAAACCCATACATATACACTTGAAGACGAACAGGGGGAGAGCGTTGTATATATAACCCAAACATGTTGTAAAATCTCGAATATTTTGTGGATTTCTATTTTATAGTAAGAACCCATAGAACCTGCTCTTTACAAAACGTTTTGCATCATTAATTATTAATCAATAAAATAATGTCCTGTTATTCTTGTCGTTTTCCATTATTGACCAACGCAGTCAGAATGGAAATCTACCGTAGTAAACGTGTGATTATGTGTTGTTTGTAGTTACTTGGGCCTTTACTACAGATTTTGCATGCTTATATCAAACATGCAGTTCATCAAGGCATAAGCGCATAGATCATACTGAAGTCCACGTCATTAACTGTTGGAAATTCCATATTAAAAGAAATTAATGTACTACAAGAACAATACCAATCAGATAATATAGATGCACGAAAACACATCACATATTTAACTTCAATTGAAACACAGTAGCTTGGGGGATTTTATATAAATCCTTATTCAAGGAGTAAGGATGTCAGTCAGAAAAGATATCATGAACTCAAAAAATGTGAATGTGTAAACATTGTTAAAACTTTATGAAAAATGCGGCAATTTACTTGTCCGAATATCCAGCCCACATTGATGTTGGCGTGACATACGTTACCGAATTGACCAAAACAGTGGCACATTATTACTATGTCAATGATGTGAAATGTAATATAAAATTAGTAAGAGTAAATGGTTCTCTTTATAACACTCTAATATGGAATAATAGTACAAACTTGTCAAATCGTAGCAAACAATTAATTTTTAAATCATTTCCAGGATCATGTATCAATCGTTAACTATAACGACAATGCATGTCATGCCGAAAAAGTCGTGTAAAAAATACACATTTATTTTTAAATTTAACTAAAATAAGTGTTCAACCTAACCAATATATATAAGAAGATGTGGTATGAGTGCCAATGAGATTACGCTCTATCCAAGTCAAAATGTATAAAAGTAAACCATTACAGGTCAAAGTACGGTCTTCAACACGGAGCCTTGGGTCACACCGAACAGCAAGCTATAAAGGGCCCCCAAAAGTACTAGTGTAAAGCCATTCAAACGGGAAAACCAACGGTCTAATCTATATAAAAAAACGAGAAACGAGAAACTCTTATGAACCACATCAATAAACGACAACTACTGAACATCAGATTCCTGACTTAGGACAGGTGCAAACAATTGCAGCGGGTTTAAACGTTTTGATCACACCAAACATTCACCCTTATCTCAAACAATAGTGTAACATCACAACATAGAAAGACACACTATAAAATATCAATTGAAATGGCTTAACTCAATCAAAAGACATATTAACACCAGTGAACATACACTGAACAAATAAATTTGATCTATGATACAATGTAAATACAAAATAAATTCTATTACTCCTGCAAAGTGTAAAATATACAGACTTCGACTATTTCTTTTCACAGAATAACAACTAGTTAGAAACAATTGAAAGTTACTGATTTTTATTAAAAAAGAATATCACATAATTTATTGTTGACAATACACACATTTACTAAAGAAAAAGCTGAAAGAAACAGCACTTTTTAATCAAACAATGCAGGACCCTAAATGTCTTTCCAAATGTTATACATCTTTAAACTGAATTAAATGAGAGAATAATTGTATATGGGTATCCGTGCATATCATTAACGAATGACCGATCGCTGACGGTTGTTACGGTATTTCTAGGTTAGAATCAATCAGATAAGTCTACATTGTATTGATCGCATATTATTCAAGGACCAGTCAAGTACACGTTATAGACTATTATGTTTAAATTTTCAAGTTCAGAATTATGTCTAAAGTTGCAAGTATGGAATTGGCACTTTACGAAGAAAAACGGCTGAAGTACGATGCCACTACATCGTTCAAAACAGGAGAAGAAATATTTGCACTTTAAAATTATGCCATCAAAAATTGAGGAAACTGTAGACTGATACAGTATGTGTAAAACAACCCATCATACGATAAATAATTGCGGTAATGTCGGTACAAGATGTTCAAGAATATCTTTTTAAGTAGCTTTTCTAGTTGTTGTAGACAAACGTTCAAGTAACCTAAGACATTATAGCTCACGTTTACAACGTGTTTACAACAATTCTTCATGATGTACGCTATGTGCTAAATCATAGTGTTATCATATGATTAAAAAAAAAATTACGTTTTTGTCAACTGAGAAACAGAAAACCTACAAAAGATAGTTACATTTTTTTTTAGCAATTTCAAATTTACATTGCTTTGATTTTATGTAAAAAATTCATTCCAAGATATAACAAGTAATGATTGCCAGTAACTGTTAGCAATCTAATGCGTTTGTCTATGTATGAAATATGCAACACGCCTTCTTTATGAAAAGAACAAAATAAAACTCTCATTCAAAACTATGAATTTATAGTATAATCTTGATCATTAATAAAGTATCTACATCGAACTTACATCAACGATATCTTTTACTATCTCCTTTAACTCCTGTTTGTGGATGTTTATAGCATCAACAGTCATATTTCTAATTATTTTCCTAAATAAGTCTGATAGAACCGAGAAGTATTTTGCCTTCTTTTTGTTGACTTCCTCGAACTGCAAAAAGAATGGTTGTTTGGAGTTAACATCAAAAGAAACTGCTGGTACAGTTAATATACATGGAAAAAGTACAAATATACTCTCTTTCTTTGCGTGTTTTTCGAATCTGGATTCTAGTAGTTTTTACATAAAACTGAACGCTTGACATATGGAAGTGTGCTTTTAACATCTTGAAGATGATTAGTAATTACAATACTCATGGAAAGAAAAGTTCAAAAGTAGCTTTGTGTATAATATGTGATATCTGGTCCCCTTCATTGAACATAATTTGCTTATTGTCGGTTGATATTTATTCACCCAGAAGACGCTTTCCAAGCCGACGTATAAGGTTAATGTATATGTTATGGAGTTTAGTATGACGTTCATTTTCACTGAACTAGTACATATTTGTATTTAGTGGCCAGCTGATGCCCGCCTCCGTGTGCGGGATTTTCTCGCTGTGTTGAAGACCCGTTGCTGGCCTTCGGCTGTTATTTGCTCTTTGGTCGGGTTGTTGTCTTTTTGACTAAACCCCATTTCAATTCTCAATTTAATTGCATATAACATTTTTTTGAAGCAATATTAACATTCAGGATTTTTGATTTGTATGGCTTCGGTTCATGAGTGTGTCAATAAAATAACATTTTATATGTAAACGCTTGTTTCACCTAGTCTAAAGTAAAGCGGTTTTATAATATTTTTACGTGTATATATTATTAGTAAATAAGTAGAGAATTCAAACCTGTAGCACGGCTTTTTGAAATTCTTCACAAGAGTCCAATATGTTTTTAGAAATTGATTGATATATCCCATAAACCTGTTGTATCTCTCCTTTAATTTCCATTCGCAGTTCTTCCATACCTTTTTCATCACATGTCTTCTATTGGAGAAATTGTGTTTTCAAATTTGTTTATTCTTGTAATAATGAACAGTTTAACGTATTACACTCCTAAACGTGTCCATCCCCCCAAACGTATCCGATTCCTCAAAACGTGTCTTTTTCGCCCAAACGTGTCAGTCATAAATCATAAATTGACCAAACATGTCTGATTTCACATACCTCAAACGTGTCCGAAAATTATTATTCACCAATACGTTACATCTTTAAGACGCATGAACGTCTCACAAGTTTTAGCACTATTATGCATACAGTGACGTCAAAAATGTTAACGGCAAGTCAATTGTACGATTGAAGATGCTGGATTTCATTTGGAAGGTAAAAAAAAAGATTAAAGCCAAATTGAAAGGACATAAATGCTGAGGTGTTTTGGGCACAATTACCGGAAATTAAAAAAAGGAACAGAGTTGAAGGAAGAACATCCAAAATTTATTAGCATTAGCTTGTTTAACGCCGCTTGTTTATATTCAGCATAATAGCAAGTTCGATTTGCAACATATAAATTAACTCTTTACTAATGATTGATTAATGTTCAGTGAAAATTATTTCATAGATATTTAGAGCGAACATAAACAAATTGCAATTAATTAGTTTTGTTCAGTTAAATTCATCGTTTAAGAGATGAATTCTTTTGTTCCAATATACTCCAGTACTCCAGTGATTCTAAGCTACATACATATTACTGATTTTTGAGGATAGTGCACTAACATGTTTTATCAGCTCTTCAAAGTATGTACTGGTATAACGTTTTTGGGTTCGAGCATTTCTAAAGAGACATAAACAAGAGGAATGAATTTGCATGTATCATAAGCATCTCTGATACCAACCTTATAATTCATAACCGTTATTTACCTAAAGGTATCGTTAAAATACGTTAAAACTATATGCATAAATTCCAATATTAAATGTAAGTTATTTTGAATGTGCATCTCCTTTTAACTGTCATATTACGTTAAATCAATTGTGAAAGAGGTAATAATCGACTAGCAAAAAGTAATGGATTTACTGATTGTTGCTTGTCGCAATTATTTCATGCATATCTAAGACAATAAATTGATTTATTGATGGTTGTTTAACATCCAGTGTGACATTTGTCATGCATATTCTTGACTTAAACATATTAATGATAAATACATCAGGTAGATATATATCTTCCTACACGAGGTTTCTGATGTAACATCCCCATTCTGCCTGGACGTGGCTATATACTTTAACATAGCACATAGCCAAACGGACGCCAAACTGTCACAAGGATTTTTAAACTGTCGGTTGGAAGAAGACCTTATTAACCATATGTCTGTTCTCCAGTCACGCTTGGAGGTATGACAATAGATGAATGAGAGTAAAATTAAAAGGAATAAACGTCAATAGAAGAACAATTACAAAATTACATATTTAATATTGTTGGACATTTTATTGTTACTTGAAGGCATACAATTACGTTAATTGCATGAGCATTTGCAAATATGGACAAGGTTGAACCTTCATAAAAGGTAACGTTAAGGCTTTATACGGACACGTTTTGGGGAATGGACCATTTGGGCGTTCTTTAAAAAATGGACACATTTGGGCAGTCTTAAAAAATGACACGTTTTGGGGCCATTTAGCACCTAGATATGTTTTGCAGTTCAGTCACGTCATATAGTCAGACAGTTTGGGGGAATCGGACACGTTTGTGGGGAATGTACACGTTTCTGAGTGTAACATATTAATAACAAAAGCAAGTAATATTGAAGCATTTTCTCCAGAAAGAAGTCTTTGTCACACAACTGCTCGGAATCTTATAATGATTATCTATCCTTGATACATTGATTTATCACATAACACTGATAATGGGATGTGATTGATCAATGTACTTATGGTTATAACTGCATTATTGCGCGTTTTGTACCAAGATTAAACATGATTGATTGTACTATTGACAATAAAACCACATTAAATCATAATCATGATAATAAGCGATTTAAATCTAACATGAAGGGCACACGAGTTACTATAAAAATAAGGAAATGTGGTATGATTGACAATGAAACAACTGTCTACCAGAGCTCATATGAAGTGGAATTAAGGAATTATGGACCTCATTAAACACTTTATTTTGTACAAGATACCTCTTCAAACACATTTTTTCTTGTTCGTACATCTCATTTGCTACCGTAACAGAATATGACAAAATTGTTTTTCCGAATTGCTCGTTAGATGTATAGAATGTCGAGAAACAATTTAACTGAATAGATCTGAAGATTCCATGTGCAGTTATTTTCCTTTATGGTTTCGGCATAAGTGAAACATAAACCTAACGCATAAACCATTAGTGAAAGAGACCCAATTTTGTCTGATTTGGGCTCGTGGGTTTATCAAAACGATATTAATTTTAAGATCAAATGTGAAGGTCATATTTTAAAACTTTTTCTTGTGCATGCATCTTCAAAAACCGAAGATAGATATCCACGAAAGATGTTTAACTAATGTTGCATCCTATCGTAAATGAAATCATTATAATTCAAACCTTATAGTGTCTTTTAATTGGAGTTCAATTAAGATTCGGGTGTACCTGCCATGTGCGGAATTTGAACTCACAACCTCAGTGACATTTTTTAAACCAGAAGTAAGTAGCTACTTATCTCCTTTTCAGAGTATTTGAAAACAATATCAGTGTTTACATTTTGTTCAGTGTTTACATTTTGTTAGCATTTGGGGTGGAAAGTCCTTCAATCATTCTCTTCTATTCATCAAGTTATCTGTTGACGTAGTATAATCATGAACTAAAACTTGGTCATCAAATATACATAAAAAAAACACACAATTTGGCTGAAATGATTCTATTTGAAAAGACCTGATGTTAGATAAAAAAAATGATATTTCTTTATATAATATGAAAAAGAAGATGCGGTATGATTGCCAATTAGACAATTCTTCACAAGAGACCAAATGACACAGAAATTAATAACATTACAAGTTCCAAAGCCAGCAAAGGTTAGAGGTATTGTCAAGTAAATATACGATGATTTTGCTCATCTTTCTGACTTTGTGTACATATTAAACAATACTCGAAAAACTAAAAGGTGCCACGGTTGAAACTGAATCGAGAACACAAAATTATTTTAGACCAGGAGTGGCCGCAAATGTATATTAGGTTAAGATAATAATTAAATAATCGAAAAAATTACCAACACAATAATAAACAATTAAGCAGTCACAACTTTATAAATTTTAATACGAGGTGTAATGATAGTGAAATAAAATCATTCCGCGGGTCAATTGATAGTATTTTGATCTGATTAAAATTTTACAATATAAATGGCAGTTCTAGCCTTTCCTGAACAATCTTCTTTGTTTCTTGCGTGTAGTATTTGTTATGCCATTGTTTATGTTTGAATTTTAGTTAAGCATTTATCATCAAAAAAACCTCCTCAACAACGTTACCAAAACACATTCTCAAGGAGGTTACCAATAACAACATCTCAGTCTTGACAGGTCCGTACAATTGGATGAAAGCACTAGACACTGAAAACATTTTGTTCACTTACTTTTGCCATTTTTCATAAACACATAATTATGTACATGTGGTTTAACTTCTTTGCCTATTAATACATATGTATGTATCTGAGTAATTGAAAGTAAAATGTCGAATAAAACACTCAGAATTACATAGTAATAACTGTTGTGTTAAGGCCGTGCGATTGTCAGTAGCTGCTTATGTAATAGTTCGTGTTTCTACGGACAAATCAAACAACATTTCATTTCCTAAAAAACACTTTCAATATGAATCATTAATTTACAGAATAAGATCTTAATCACCAATAACATATGTTTATTATCAAACTTACATCATGTACATCAATCAATTTTATTTTTTTTCTGATATTCTTTACTCGTTTCCCAGTTTCACTTTCTTCAAGATAATAAACTGGCATATGTTCAACTAGTTTATCAAACGAAGTTGATAAAACCCAGAAGTATTGCGTGTTGCTGTCATCTTTGAGCTGAAAGGAAAATATTTGTGAAACAACTTATTTCAACTGCTTGTAAACTATAGTTATGATACATGCAATTACTAAAGATATAAACTGTGTTGTCTTCATAAATATTTTAACTACTTAGTCTAACGTAGACCGAACGCTTGACAATAGGACATTGCAACATGTGCAATATAATCTAAGATCATCCATGACTGTTTCCGAAATTTTATTTTATTTTTACTTCATATATTTTCCTAGATGTAAAGCATTATTTCTTTTTTTTTGTGTATGCATTATATTAGAAATAACATGTATATGTGCTTGAAATTCCTGGATCCAATGTATATGTATTGCGCATGGATTCATCAGAGTGAATATTACGAAAGAAGTTTTCTCAAAATGGTCTTACGGAGTGTGATACAAGAAAAAAATTTCGAACGGACCAATCCGTTTAGAATATTTGTAGATCAGAAAAGAATTTAAAAATGAACAGGCTATTTCCTTTTTAAGCAAGACTGACGTTAAAGTAACGTATCGTTAAATTGCATTCTTGCTTTATTACAACATTATGATTCGGTTCATGATAATTTAATATGTGCATATTATATGAAACTGATTGTTCTGCCTAGTCATAATATTTAAACAAGAATGTGGTTTTAACATATTGAAAAGTGTTTATATCAATAGTATAATTTAAAGAAAAAATACCTGTGATGTGTCCTTAACGAATCGCTTATAATAAGCTGGTAATTCTCTGTAAATCAAATCATAATCCTCCATCACCCTTTGCACCACGTCTCCGATTTTATTTTGCAACTCGTACATCCTTTTCGTATTAAGTGTCTGCAATTAATTTGAATAAAAAACTTGTTGCCGTTATCAGCATACATAATAACATAATAAAAAAATTAAGTCAAACGAAAGCAATATATCTGGGGGCAAGCTTTCATCACAATGTAGTAAATAAATTACCGAAATAATATAAAAAAGAACAGAATTAACACTAGGTATAGTGTATGGCTGGACTCAAATACGATAAAAAAGAAATGTAAGCAAACAAACTTCCTTTCTGGTAAGACGTACAATAGATGATTGCACCTACAAGAGAGGCGAAAGGTACCAGATGGACATTCAAACTCATATAAGTAAAAAATAAACCGATAACGCAATGGCTAAAAAGAAAAAGAGACTAATAAACAAGCAATAGTACACCGAACACGACTGAGCAACATGAACCATAACAAAAACTTGGGGGGGGGGGGGGGGGGGGATCGCAGGTGCTCTGGAAGGGTAAACAAATCCTGCTCCACATGTGGCACTCGTCGTGTTGTTCATGTTATTACAAACCCAGTAATATGTCTGATTAGGTAGGTTGCATTCGGGGAAATGGGACGGGATTGTAGCTATGACATTAAGAACACATCTGCTATCATATGTGAAACGGATATTCCTGACGGTCAAGCAACTGGTGATGGCGTTCGTAACACTTACGAAGGGATGATTATAAATTCATCATTTTGAACTCTTGGTTAAAAAGCTTTCCTGTGAGCAGCAATCCTCTATCAAAAGCATGATAGGAAATACAAGCCCTGAAATATTGCATCAACTGGGAGATATATACTCCATATGCAGACGCACCTGGAATGTTGCTACATAGAAATGGGAAGTTCACCATTGAAAAACTGTAATCATCTCTTTCGTCGTAATGTCTTGTTTTCAACCGACCCTCTCTGTTTATTTTCTATATGTAAGTCAAGATATGTGGCAGACTTTATTGCGTCTGTTGTATCCTTTATCTTCAGTTCGATTGGATAGATGCGTTCAGCATTGTCACCAAATTTTGAACTATTTATTTAGAGAACATCTATATAGCGGAAAGTAAAGTTTAAGGATATTGCTAACATCTTTTCTTTCTTCCTATGAAGTTCTTGTAGGAAGCAAGTCTCATATGAATAAAGGAACAAGTCGACAAGAAGGGGAACAGTTTGTTCCCATGAAAATGCCAATTGTTTGTTGACAAACACGTCCTCCAATCGTTACAAATATGTTGTCAATCAAGAAACCAAACATCTTGATAATGTCAAATACCATATTATAAAAGGTAATCGTTATGAATAGATATATTATGTACCCCATACTTTGTTATGGATGTGAAGTTAGCAGCCGGTTAGTTATTCGATATTCGATATTCAATATCCAACCGGCTGCTAGCAGTCGGTTCGATATTCAAATTTAGTTGAAAATCATAAAAAATATAATATTTGATAACATTAAAAGCATGATTTTTATAGTTGAAAGGAGTGAAAAGATACGTAGGAAATCGTTTTATGACCCCTTCAAGTTGTCTTAAACTCTCGTTGTCCTCAAATATAAATCCTTATTAATGCTTATGTAATTTGCATATTTGTCTTTATGTAATATAGATTTTTATCAATAAAACGACATCAAAACTGTAATTTTATATCTAATATTTCTTAAAACAAAAACAAAAACCGATCACTCTAAAAAAAATTTAGAAATATAAATAGAAATATATATGGAAAGCACCAAAAAAAGAAATACATAGTGAAAACCTACCTGAGACCGCTTAAATGACGGTGAGACCCCCCTGTTCTTTCAATGTCCATAAAATTCGACGAATTCATAGACTCTGTATAAATAAAGATTGTATCAAAAGGATTTCTCAGAAAAATGTCATCTTCGATATCTACGGAGGGCTTAGATTGTCACTTTTCAGCTAAAAATTGTCAAAATTTCAAGACAAAGGACACAGGGCAATGATGAGAGCCCCCTGGTATCTCAATCTGCCTAATATTAAGCAGAGAGTTAGTTAATAGGTAGATACAAACGTTAATAAAAGGAACTTGGGTACACTTCCTGTCTTCTATGTTTACGGAGGGCCCAAAGTGCCAGTTGGATATTCAAAATATATAGCAAAAACCTACCTGAGACCGCTTAAATGACGGTGAGACCCCCCTGTTCTTTCAATGTCCATAAAATTCGACGAATTCATAGACTCTGTATAAATAAAGATTGTATCAAAAGAATTTCTCAGAAAAATGTCATCTTCGATATCTACGGAGGGCTTAGATTGTCACTTTTCAGCTAAAAATTGTCAAAATTTCAAGACAAAGGACACAGGGCAATGATGAGAGCCCCCTGGTATCTCAATCTGCCTAATATTAAGCAGAGAGTTAGTTAATAGGTAGATACAAACGTTAATAAAAGGAACTTGGGTACACTTCCTGTCTTCTATGTTTACGGAGGGCCCAAAGTGCCAGTTGGATATTCAAAATATATAGCAAAAACCTACCTGAGACCGCTTAAATGACGGTGAGACCCCCCTGGTCTTTCAATGTCCATAAAATTCGACGAATTCATAGACTCTGTATAAATAAAGATTGTATCAAAAGGATTTTTCAGAAAAATGTCATCTTCGATATCTACGGAGGGCTTAGATTGTCACTTTTCACCTAAAAATTGTCAAAATTTCAAGACAAAGGACACAGGGCAATGATGAGAGCCCCTGATCTCTCAATCTGCCTAATATTAAGCAGAGAGTTAGTTAATAGGTAGATACAAACGTTAATAAAAGGAACTTGGGTACACTTCCTGTCTTCTATGTTTACGGAGGGCCCAAAGTGCCAGTTGGATATTCAAAATATATAGCGAAAACCTACCTGAGACCGCTTAAATGACGGTGAGACCCCCCTGTTCTTTCAATGTCCATAAAATTCGACGAATTCATAGACTCTGTATAAATAAAGATTGTATCAAAAGGATTTTTCAGAAAAATGTCATCTTCGATATCTACGGAGGGCTTAGATTGTCACTTTTCAGCTAAAAATTGTCAAAATTTCAAGACAAAGGACACAGGGCAATGATGAGAGCCCCCTGGTATCTCAATCTGCCTAATATTAAGCAGAGAGTTAGTTAATAGGTAGATACAAACGTTAATAAAAGGAACTTGGGTACACTTCCTGTCTTCTATGTTTACGGAGGGCCCAAAGTGCCAGTTGGATATTCAAAATATATAGCAAAAACCTACCTGAGACCGCTTAAATGACGGTGAGACCCCCCTGTTCTTTCAATGTCCATAAAATTCGACGAATTCATAGACTCTGTATAAATAAAGATTGTATCAAAAGAATTTCTCAGAAAAATGTCATCTTCGATATCTACGGAGGGCTTAGATTGTCACTTTTCAGCTAAAAATTGTCAAAATTTCAAGACAAAGGACACAGGGCAATGATGAGAGCCCCCTGGTATCTCAATCTGCCTAATATTAAGCAGAGAGTTAGTTAATAGGTAGATACAAACGTTAATAAAAGGAACTTGGGTACACTTCCTGTCTTCTATGTTTACGGAGGGCCCAAAGTGCCAGTTGGATATTCAAAATATATAGCAAAAACCTACCTGAGACCGCTTAAATGACGGTGAGACCCCCCTGGTCTTTCAATGTCCATAAAATTCGACGAATTCATAGACTCTGTATAAATAAAGATTGTATCAAAAGGATTTTTCAGAAAAATGTCATCTTCGATATCTACGCAGGGCTTAGATTGTCACTTTTCACCTAAAAATTGTCAAAATTTCAAGACAAAGGACACAGGGCAATGATGAGAGCCCCTGATCTCTCAATCTGCCTAATATTAAGCAGAGAGTTAGTTAATAGGTAGATACAAACGTTAATAAAAGGAACTTGGGTACACTTCCTGTCTTCTATGTTTACGGAGGGCCCAAAGTGCCAGTTGGATATTCAAAATATATAGCGAAAACCTACCTGAGACCGCTTAAATGACGGTGAGACCCCCCTGTTCTTTCAATGTCCATAAAATTCGACGAATTCATAGACTCTGTATAAATAAAGATTGTATCAAAAGGATTTCTCAGAAAAATGTCATCTTCGATATCTACGGAGGGCTTAGATTGTCACTTTTCAGCTAAAAATTGTCAAAATTTCAAGACAAAGGACACAGGGCAATGATGAGAGCCCCCTGGTATCTCAATCTGCCTAATATTAAGCAGAGAGTTAGTTAATAGGTAGATACAAACGTTAATAAAAGGAACTTGGGTACACTTCCTGTCTTCTTTGTTTACGGAGGGCCCAAAGTGCCAGTTGGATATTCAAAATATATAGCAAAAACCTACCTGAGACCGCTTAAATGACGGTGAGACCCCCCTGTTCTTTCAATGTCCATAAAATTCGACGAATTCATAGACTCTGTATAAATAAAGATTGTATCAAAAGGATTTCTCAGAAAAATGTCATCTTCGATATCTACGGAGGGCTTAGATTGTCACTTTTCAGCTAAAAATTGTCAAAATTTCAAGACAAAGGACACAGGGCAATGATGAGAGCCCCCTGGTATCTCAATCTGCCTAATATTAAGCAGAGAGTTAGTTAATAGGTAGATACAAACGTTAATAAAAGGAACTTGGGTACACTTCCTGTCTTCTATGTTTACGGAGGGCCCAAAGTGCCAGTTGGATATTCAAAATATATAGCAAAAACCTACCTGAGACCGCTTAAATGACGGTGAGACCCCCCTGTTCTTTCAATGTCCATAAAATTCGACGAATTCATAGACTCTGTATAAATAAAGATTGTATCAAAAGGATTTCTCAGAAAAATGTCATCTTCGATATCTACGGAGGGCTTAGATTGTCACTTTTCAGCTAAAAATTGTCAAAATTTCAAGACAAAGGACACAGGGCAATGATGAGAGCCCCCTGGTATCTCAATCTGCCTAATATTAAGCAGAGAGTTAGTTAATAGGTAGATACAAACGTTAATAAAAGGAACTTGGGTACACTTCCTGTCTTCTATGTTTACGGAGGGC